AATTGTATTTAAAATGTCAAATTTTCATTTAAATCCAAGAAACTATTAGGTGCTTTGCTATCTCTGTTTTTCTACCGATTAAATTTTTTTTAATTAAAAAAAAAAATTCACATCATCCTTTTAGAAAAAAATTTAAAAAGATCTGAAACACTAAATTATACGGTATTTTTTTATTATTTCATCATCAGATTCTCTACCTGTTATATGTACACACGACGACTTTTAAACGCGTGGTCAACGCGCAATAAACGTGCTATTATCGCACGATTGTATTCATATGAACGCACGTAAACTGCATTTCTTTGCTTTATCAAAGCAGATTATTCGCATTCATGATTCACATATTGTCGGTTAACTGCCTCGGTGGTGTAGTGGCTAGCATGTATGGCTGCGCACTCGGAGGTTGTGGGTTCGAGTTCGGGTCGGGCCAAGTTTAGTTATTGAGTATTTCTATATAGTAAGCCTCAGTAACAGCCCGGAGTTGGGAAGTTGGCGGTGTTTCACCCCCGTGCCTCGGAGAGCACGTAAAGCCGTCGGTCCTGCGTCTTAACTCGTGTCGAGCAGTCGGCCCACCGGAGTATGAAAGTGACAGGAATAGTGACCAACTTCGAAAATATTTGATTAGGTATGTCTAGTAAATGAAAACTACCAATCAGTTATTTTTTACTTTTTAGTGCTTTTGTTTGAAGTTGGTTTTTGGCTTGTCAAATCAAACAAAATAAGCCTAAACTCAAAGTATCTACTATTAGCCGTTGAAGAGTTCCACCTTCTGGCCTTACCACAGATCAGGTCAACAATACCGAACCACTGTACTATCAACGGAAATAGAAACACTTGCAAAGTTTCAAGTCAATATGACAATTAGAAGTAGGTTAAATTCATCATTAGCTGTTTTTCCACCCTTAGGGGTGGTATTTTTTTTTAAATTTAAATGGGACCAATCTGGAAGTATACACTTTCAAACAACACAAAAATTGTCCAAATCGGTTAATAAATGACGGAGTTCTGAGGTAACAAACATAAAAAAATAAAAAAATACAGTCGAATTGAGAACCTGCTCCTTTTTGAAGTCGGTTGAAAATTACTGAACGTCATTAAAATTAACATAGAACCTTGTAATAGTGAGCCAACGAAATGTTAAGTGAAGCTTACCACAATATATTAGTGAAAACCACACCCATTACCCACTTAATTTAAATCAGTTAAGCCATTTCTGAGATTAGCGCACAAACGTACAGACAAAAATTCTAAAAATTATTGTTAAAATAAATTTTAAACACACAATAAATGTTGTTTTGACCGGGTTTTTGAAAATTGATCCGGGTATTTGTTTATATGTTAATATTAGTCTAGTACTAGCGTGGCTCGTTGAGTGTATATTTATTTCCGCATAGAGTAAGTAGCTCGAGTCAAGGATGTGTACACACGACACAATACGTACACTGTACGCCGTACAGTAGCAACCATATATTTTATGTAAATATCACATATTTAATGTCAATAAAGGTGTAAGGAGTTTTAAAAGTAAAATAACAATTAGTATAGTTCCAAGAAACAACTATTTGCTTTTGATTAACGAACTTAAAGGAAGTACTTAATGTTTTTTTTTCTAATTCTTGTGACGTAAAGATACAACACAATAGACACTTAACTAGTGTTGTCTATGAATGACAAAATGTTTTTTTAGTGATGTCATATCGTGTCTTTCGGTCGTTCATCTCGTTTTTTTTAAACCATTTCTCAAGAAATTACACTCAATTGGGGGTTTTAATTTAGTTTTGAATTTCACGCGATATTTCAATAATTCCCACAGGAGTCAGAGTGGATTAAATTAGGTTTTTTTTTTTAATTTCGTTAGGCACAGAAACAGAAAAGGTTTTTTTTTAATTAAAACTATTTAATGCTAAAATATAAGCCTGGTTAATTATATCTGTATATACGAGTAGTATACAAATAAATATAATTATATAAAGGAACCAAACCATTACAGTACAAAATATTACAGTATGTACAGTTAAGATTAAATAATAACATTAAAAATAAAATCAATATAAATTACATTCCATTTAAAAAAACAACGAGAACAGAAGTAACAGAGAGAAAGAGAGAGAGAAAGAAAGAGGGAAAGAAAGAAAGAGAGAGAAAGAAAGAGAGAGAGAAAGAGAGAGAGAGAGAAAGTGAGAGAGAGAAAGAGAGAGAGAGAGAGCATAAATATATTATTATCGAAACTGTATTTTGGGGACGTTTTCGCCATATTTAGTTATCAAGTAACTTTCAGTCATTGAAGTAATTAATAATTATTCAACGTAAAATCTTATGATAAGGTCATCAATAAATTTATGACAGTGAGTTCATTGACCTACACTGCTATTATTAAGAGGTTTGTTTACCTTCTACGAAGTTTTTAAGTTCAAATCAAAATCGAATCAAATCAAAATTATTTTATTTAAATAGACTTTATTTTATACCCCAAATTTAATTTATTTTTATGTCACCTAACCAATAACACCAACACCTATCTAAGAACACTTGGACTAATGAGACGAATCTAACGATACCTTAATTAAAGAAATTCGTCGAGTGGTTTATACATACAAAGATAGGCGCTAAAAACATAACCCCTTCCTTGCAGTCGGGTAAAAATTACAAATCTTTCTTTTATTTACGCGAATATTTGACATATAAAACTATCTTTTCGGACTTTTCGCGATTTTTTTTTGTTTTTTGATTTTTTTTGATTACTATTGTTAATTTGTGGGTAGGCTGTCTGTAAAAACTATATAATGCCTTTAAGACATCTAACACCCCAGTCTCTCCAGTGACCATGATTGCTGTAAAGCATTCGAAACGTCGGTAACCAAAAATCAAAATAAATTCACAAAAAATCCGAGAAGATTTATTTAAAACTAGCACTGCCCGCAGCTCCGCCCGCGTTCAGATGACCAAAAACCAAATTCTTAGTTTTTACATATTAGTATACTCTCACATTGATTTTATTGTATTTTTTCTTAGAAATGAGATATTTTCCCGCGGTAAAAAGTATCCTATATGTTGACACGGATAACCAGCTATCACCATACCAAATTCCATCAAAATACCTTCAGTGGTTTTTCTGTGATGCGGTAACCGACGGACAGACAGGCAGACAAAAATTCTAAAAACTATAGATTCGGCCTCTGTATCGATAATAATGTCCATTTCAATAAGACTTTCCAAAAAATATTTAATGTACAGATTCGGCTTAGTTACAATTTTATTATATGTATAGATAAAAATTACAATGTTTTTATGTACTTAAAAGGATAGGATACATATTATGTAATTCTCTAGTAATATATTTAGTACGGAATAATGTAAATTTAAAAAAAAAAGTAAAACTTTTAATAATAATAAAGAAAAAAAACATAATATGTTGAGAATTTTGCAAACGTTTGATATTACACGATTAACGTGACCTCAATTTTTTCTTTCTTTAATTCAGCTCGTGTCGAAGGTTTGTTAATGTGTCTAATAATTGCGAAAGGTATAGAATACTTTGTCTTTTTTTTATTGAAGTGAAACTTCTTTAGAATCGTTGTGATTTGATACTCGATGAAACGGAAATGCGACACTAAAAAGAGACAAACACATAAATATATAGGATTAAGCCGGCGAGAGAATGAGATAGAATACATTGCCATGGTAACCGTAGTTATTGTCTGATAAATATTTAATATTTTAATCTTTCCGTATATGATATTCTATAAATATATGATTGTAATATGCCTAATTATTTGAGACTAGCGGCTCTCCCTCGCTTCGCTCGGGTTCGTCGCTAGGTACGTTTTAAATAGATATAATATAGTTATTAGCCAGCGTTAGCCATTTAATTTTTTTTCGTTAATTTTTCATTTTTTCTCTTTATTCAAACTTTTCGTGGACCATAAGGAATAGTGAGTTATATATGTAGTTTAAAAATAATAATAATAAATTAAAAAAAAAAAACAAATATTTAAGTGGTGCTCCCATACAACAAACGTGATTTTTTGCCGTTCTCCGACTCGCACTTGGCCGGTTTTTTAAACAATACATAGTGGATGATAGATACCTTCGGTAGTAAATGAAAAGTTTGAAGTCAGTTTTTATTTTATTTAAAAGAAAGTTTTTGAAATTATACTTCTTTTGGCACGTTTGGAAAAAAATATGAGAGTAAAATTTTTACGATGCGCGCGCACACCGACAGCCAAAAAGCAACATGATGAAGTTAGCTGCATTCCTTTTACAAACAGTTGTGATACGGGATGAAATCTTTAGCTTTTTTTGTTCTGTTACGTCAAAGAAGTATATAACTTCTTACGTGCGTACATAAGTATGCACACGTTTTTTTAATGTTATTTGTATATAAGTATAGTTATAGGTACCTGTCGTACGTCAGTGAACCCATTCACAAGTGCAGAGCTTCTTATGTAATTAAGGATGCGAGTTATTTTATCGATTGGCAAAATGCCGACCCTGTAGACTGTAGATTGTAGTACATTGTTGTGCGATCGCAAGTAAGCCTTATAATGTCTGGCTCTAGGAAATGCAAATAGATTTATATGAGACTAGCTACTTACCGTTGCTTTGCTCGGCGTCCCTATACATTGCATTAACATCTTATACAGGTAACTATTATATTGGCCTAAGTACGGTGCCTTAGTCAATCTTGCGCCTTGGCCACGTGACTACGATGCTTAATTAGCGACCATATTTTGCGTGGAATAATGCGAAAGAAAACCGCATGAAAACTCGAAAACATCGATTTTCAAATTTCAGCGAAATACAGCCGATTCCGAGATCGTCGGTATAAATAAATAAATATTAAAATATACAAGAATTGCTCGTTTAAATATATTAGATGCTTCAAAGAGAAGACTTTGCCATTTTTTTTTGGCGGACTCCGTCCTTATAATTATTTAGTTTTACTAAGTTATAAAGTCAGTGTATCTCTTAGTTAAAAGTTATTTTTTATCAGGTAAAAGATGGTGGCGAGACCGAGGTCACCGTGCGACGCGCTGCTGCCGCAGTTCTACGCGGGTAGGGACGTGTTCATCACCGGGGCTACTGGTTTTATGGGGAAAGTAAGTTATAAAGGATAATATTTTAATCTATACTAATTTGTGAGTTTGTGACGTTGTAGGGGGTAATCTCAGGATCTACAAAACCGATGTAAATGAAATTTAGTAAGAAGATAGTTTGAAACCCTGAGAATGACATAGGATACATAGACATAGAATTTATATCCCGGAAACCATCCTTTAAGGGGGTAAAAATGGGGATGAAAGTTTGCATGGGAAATCAACCAAAGGTTTAAATAAAACTATCTTTTCGAGATTTTTCGCCGATTTATTTTGATTTTTGGTTCCTGACGTTTCGAACGCTTTATAGAAATCGTGATGGCGGGAGAGATTCTCTTATGTTAGATAGTTTTATTTAAAATATCTAATATTCGCATAAATCTACGAAATTCTAATTAGTACACGTACAATTAGTCTAAAAAATAACCTAACCTCAACATAAAAAGTAAAAGTTTCCCTCCAACACCAAATTGTTTTATACAGTTCTCATATTGTTTGGTAATAAATGACACCATTTTGAACGTCGGATTTGGGATGGGAGAGGTTATAAGTTGGTACATTTTTAAAGTTTTCATCCGTTTTTCTGGGATAAGGAAACTTATACATATACTTATATTAATAATTTAGTTTCCTTAATAATGTCTATTTTTTCCAAAATCTTCTATATAAATAAAAATGAGTGCTGGTAAGCGCATAACTCAAGAATGGCTGGACCAATTCGGCTAATTTTTTTTCGTATGTTCCATAAGGTCCATGGAATAATAATGGTTTTAATAAAAAAATATGAAAAATTAAAAAAAAATTATATGGCTAACGCTGGCTAATAACTATTTACCTATATCTATTTAAAACGTACCTAGCGACGAACGCGAGCGCCGCTGGTATCTAATAAATACGAAAAAGTTCTACTCTTACATGCTCCATAACTCTGGAACCGTTCACTTTAGCAAGATTAAGCACGAAACCATTTTTATTCACAATTTATTGTAGATTATTTTTGTATATGACATATTTTGTGCTAAACCGAATAGTTTTCGTAATTTTGCTACCCTTTATTTTTTTTAATATTTTAAAGCCACACGATAAGTTTTATTGCACTTTTCAGGCATTTTTTAAGTTAATCTTAAGTTTATTTTTTATGTTTATAGAACGTAGTGTGCATAAACCCCAGGCACAGCTCTAGATGTTTATTTAATAATAAGAGTTAAGCAATAAAGTATTTATATACGACATTAAATATTTTCTCCGTTTACACGTGTAGTGTGTACACAATACTCAATAACATAGTTATAAATCATATAAAATAAAATTATCATATTATTAATAATAAATCATTTATTGCAGACAAATAGAATACCCATAATATGTACAGAGAAAAAATAAACATTACAATAATAATTAAAATAATAATTAAATGAAAAAATAATAATTAAAATCAAGAATAATAATTATAGAGTAATATAATTATTATGATACAGTCATTTTCTGGTTTCCGTTGATAAACTTGTTGGGTAACACACAGCACCATCTAGTTCCATGGTAAGCTACGAGGCTTGTGTTATGGATACCAGATAGTTGATACCAGTGCCGGATTAAGCAAGCGCGGGGCCCGTAGCTTTCTTTTGAAGAGCCCTCGATCTGCTATGGGTTTTTAAGTATAAAGTGGTAAAAAACACAATTCAATACTCAATACCTCAGGCCTCAATACGTTTATTTGCCATCTATAGGTTACAATTTTGTGAGTGATTAATAATACAGTAGATTTCTATAGGCTCTGTTAAGCTCTGACAAGTACAAAAAGCCAGAGATGAGAATTCCTGGCAATTTAGAATGATTTTGATAAGAAACTAACAATTGAAAAGTGACGATACTGCACAATTTTTTTTAATAGATATTTCTGAATTCTAATACCTTTAAACGACCAACTTTTGTTTATTTATACCGGCGATCTCGGAAACGGCTCTAACGATTTTGCTGAAATTTGGCATGTGGGTTTTTTTTTCTATCAGTAAGATTAAGTGTCAGTTTTATGAACGGCTAGTAAGTTTAATTGTCAGTTAGCATGACTGTCAGTTAGTTTAACTGTCAGTTTGTTTAACTATCAGTAAGTTTAACTGTCAGTAAGAGTAACTGTCTGTAAGATTAACTGTCAGTTTTATGAACGGCTAGTAAGTTTAACTCTTTCAGTTAGTTTAACTGTCAGTTTGTTTAACTGTCAGTAAGGGTAACTGTCTGTAAGATTAACTGTTAGTAAGATCAACTGTCAGTTTAATGAACGGCTAGTAAGTTTAACTGCCAGCAAGTTAAACTGTCAGTTAGCATGACTTTCAGTTAGTTTAACTGTCAGTTTGTTTAACTGTCAGTTTGTTTAACTGTCAGTTTGTTTACTGTCAGTTTGTTTAACCGTCAGTTTGTATCACTGTCAGTTTGTTTAACTATCAGTAATGGTAACTGTCTGTAAGTTTAACTGTCAGTAAGATTAACTGTCAGTCTTATGAACGGCAAGTAAGTTTAACTGTCAGTTTGATTAACTGTCAGTAAGTTTAACTGTCAGTAAGGGTAACTGTCTGTAAGGTTAACTGTCAGTAAGATTTACTGTCAGTTTTATGAACTACTAGTAAGTTTAATTGTCAGTTAGTTTAACTGTCAGTTTTTTAACTATCAGTAAGATTAACTGTCAGTTTTATGAACGGCTATAACTGTCTGTAAGATTAACTGTCAGTTTTATGAACGGCTAGTAGTTCTGTATACCTTTTTAACCGACTTCCAAAAAGGAGGAGGTTCTCAATTCGTCGGAATCTTTTTTTTATGTATGTTCACCAGTGCCAGATTAAGCAAGCGCGGGACCCGTAGCTTTTTTTTGAAGAGCCCTTGATCTGCTATGGGTTTTTAAGTATAAAGTGGTAAAAAACACAATTCAATACTCAATACCTCAGGCCTCAATACGTTTATTTGCCATCTATAGGTTACAATTTTGTGAGTGATTAATAATACAGTAGATTTCTATAGGCTCTGTTAAGCTCTGACAAGTACAAAAAGCCAGAGATGAGAATTCCTGGCAATTTAAAATGATTTTGATAAGAAACTAACAATTGAAAAGTGACGATACTGCACAATTTTTTTTAATAGATATTTCTGAATTCTAATACCTTGAAACGACCAAATTTTGTTTATTTATACCGGCGATCTCGGAAACGGCTCTAACGATTTTGCTGAAATTTGGCATGTTGGGTTTTCGGGGGCAAAAATCGATCTAGATTAGACTTATGTCTAGGAAAGCGCGTGTTTTCGAGTTTTCATGCGGTTTTCTTTCGCATTATTCCACGCAAAATATGGTCGCTAATTTCGCACGCTCAGGTATAAGCATCGTGGTCAAGCAACCAAGGCGCAAGATTGAAAATCGCAGGTGCCCCGAATCAATTCGAATCCCGGTCGGATACAAAGCTTTTACTTTTGTTTTATTTTTGTAGTTTTGGTTTTTTTTTAATTGTACTTTTGACCAAAAACTCCGAGCGAAGCGCAAAGACCCAAGGTATTTATATTTAATACAAAGTACATTATATTTTTACACATTATATTTTTAGAAATAGCTAATTTTATATTTTTAGACCAATCGGAATCCGCTTTTTAAGAGATTTTTTTTTATTGAAAACCTGAAGTTTTATGATTTTAAAATGTTAGCAGGTATATTAGCAGGTTAGCAGGGAATTCAAACTCGTAAATGCCCCCTATGGCCAGCTACCCCCGAGAAATGGCGGGACGCAAAGCGTTGAAAAATAGTTTTTTTTTCTATTTCCGCTTTACTGTGACGTTCTATCGAAAAATGTTTTGTACAAAAGTTGTAGGTTTAGTAGAAATCTTCAATCTTTATAAATAACACTTTTTACAATAATCTCAAAGTTTTCGAGATATTTGCAAAAAACTCGGTTTTTGACTTTTTCTTGTTTTTTTTTTTAATTTCTAGAATAATCTTTTGATATCCATGACACTGTAATCTTCGAAATACATATAATAAATCAAAAAATTAAATTGAAATCAAACAATCCAAGAAATATTTGTGATCAGAATTACTTCGTATTAATGCTCTTCAATATGATTCCCATTTTTCGAAATTTATTCTATAAGGGGGTAAAATAGGTGATGAAAGTTTGTATGAAACTACCTTTTTAGAGTTTCTTTTTGTAGTTTTAGCGCGAGCAAAGCCGCGCGTTCTGCTAGTGTACATATAAAGGTGTGACACTTTACGGTGTATGTACGGTGGAGGTCAGCCTTGCGGACGAGATATTTCGACTTTGCAATGACTATCTTATTAGGTAACAAATTCATTACCGCATGCGATTATAAATTGTAATGGCATCGTAATGAGAAGGAATCTATTGTCGTTTTTAAAGAAAGGTCACTAGAAGGTAAAAAATATATTTTTATGTGTGCGTATGTTTGTTACTCTGTCATCATTTTTAGGTGAATTATAATAAGCATATTCAGTTAAATTGTGAAACGGTCACTGATTGGTCCGATTTAGATATTTTTTTGACAATACTCCGGGTAATTATAACTTCACTAGTAAAATTATGATTTAACGGATGTTACAGTTTCCCTGCGACATATATAATACAAATACAAAAGACATCTAGGGACGAACCCGAGTGAAGCATGGACAATTTGCTAACTATATATAACACTAGCATTGCCCGCGGCTCCGCCCGCGTTCAGATGATCAAAAACCAAATTCTTAGGTTTTACATATTAGTGTACTCTTACAACGCAGTTTTGTATTTTTTCTCAGAAATAAGATATTTCCCTGCGGTAAAAAGTATCCTATATGTTGACCCGGATAACCAGCTATCATCATACCAAATTTCATCAAAATCTGTCCAGTGGTTTTCTGCGGTGATGCGGTAACAGACAGACAGACAAACATTCTAAAAACTATAAATTCGGACTCTGTATCGATAATAATGTCTAATTCAATTAGGTTTTCCAAAAAATATTTAATGTACAGATTCGATTTAATTACAATTTTATAATATGTATAGACTTTGACCTACCACTCAAATTAAAAAACAAAAGCTACAGCGCTTTTTTATTTTTTTTTCAAAATATTTATCGTGGTTTCGATGCTTGGTAAAAGCAAGTATTAAACAACTATAAAATATACTTATATTTTTTTTATGTTGGTACATTAACACACAGCACCATCTAGTTCCATGGTAAGCTACGAGGCTTGTGTTATGGATACAATTATATAAATATAAATGTATAATAAATAAATTAAATATAATATATAATTATTATATTTCGTCTAAAATAACATTATTAGTAAGTGCGTACTTTTCATTCGAAATCCTGAGTTCGATCCTCTTCGCGCAAACACAAGTATTTGCATCAGTATTAAGTAGGGTTTTCCAACAGAGTGTACTTACTTATGTATACAGCATAGACATACTCGTACAAAAGCAAACATAATAAGTAAATAAATGCTAGTGTTTTATTTCAATACTAGAGACCACCCTCGATTCGCTCGGGTTCGTCCCTATATTGTTTCCCCATACAAACTTTCATCCCCATTTTCAACCCCCTCAAGGGACGATTTCCGGGATAAAAAGTATCCAATGTCCTTCCCAAGGACTCAAACTATCTTCTTACCAAATTTCATCTAAATCGATTCTGTAGATCCAGAGATTACCCCCTCTTTATAATATGAATAGATGAAAAATATTCGCGTAAATCTAAGAAAGTATTAAGATTGTTTAATCTTTTTTTTAACACCAGGTGCTGATCGAGCGTTTGCTGTCCACGTGTCCAGACGTCGGCCGACTGCACCTGCTCTTGAGATACAAGAAGGGAGATGCTCCCGAGAAACGTCTGCTCGGACTCAAACAATCACAGGTTTTTACATTTAGATAATCGAGACTATGGCAGTAATTTTTTTGCAAACTCCCTATTACATTCATTTTTATGTTATTTACTTAAAATCACAAAAGAAAAACAAAAACATATCTATCCCGCGGGAACTGTACATTTTTCCGGGATAAAAAGTTCCCTATGTTTTATATATATATATAAATATATATATATATATATATATATATATATATATATATATATATATATATATAATAAGATAGGTCCGCTTTATGTTTTATAGTATGTATATATAATATGTGTACCACATAGTTCAAATAATAACTTGCTTGTTACAAACAATAGATTAGTAAAGTAAAAGAAGAAACAAAAGAAATACGAAAGTCTGCCAGCAACCCTTTGCAAACCTCAAACCCATTACCACCAACACAATAAGCCAAATCCGCTAATACCGATGCGTTATAAGTCATTCAGAAATTACAATACTACCATGGCTGGATTTGCACTAGGGGCACTCGGGGCTAGTGCTCAGGGCGGCAAATTTTCAGGGGCGGCAAAATTTGGAGGGTGGGAAAAAAAACTTTTGTTTATTTTCCAAAAAATGACTAGTTAAAAAAATAACTAGTACAATTTTCGAATAATTGAAAACATTCATATATTTTTTGTTGCATTTTTCAAAAAAATCATAATAAAAAAAAATAAACTTTATCAAAACTTTACCCGTTTTATGGAAAATTTAGATAATAAGGCGGCATTTTTTTTATACTCAGGGGCAGCGGTAGTTTTAAATCCGGCATTGAATACTATAATCGTTATTGGTTTCCCAGGTGTTCGATGTGGTCCGTCAGAACAACCCGTCCCAGCTCGACAAGCTGTGCATAGTCCCGGGCGACGTCGCACAGCCGGGCCTCGGTATACCTGGGACTTATTTGAAGCAATTACAAGAGGTATGGAAAATATTTTAAATCATACTTTTTCGGTAGTTCTTTTTCCTAAATTCGTAAATTTATGGAAATGGTCAAAGGTTTTCATTTCTATACTTTGTACGCAGCGGTTTTTACTGAAAACTTTTTTACCCAACTTTTTTTTCCCACGGTGAGAGGTTGTTTGTGTACACGAATGTTCTCATGTATCTCCAAAACGGTTTGACCGATTTGGACACGGTGTTCTATGTTACAGAAGGATTTGTAAGTCATCGACTATGGTTCTTAGATAGGTGGTATGGCGTTAACTTGCTATGCATTTCGCTAGTTAAAATGAATTGTAGCGAGTTTTCCTCCGAGACAACTTGACTGGTTTAGATGCGGGTATTAATATCACATAGCATATTTCGATTCAAGATATATATATTTTCCATTACAACGTTTGCATCGGTCATGGGTCTTTTCAAAATTTGTAATTTTGCTTTTTTTTCAATTGACGATAAGTATTGTTTAAGAAATTCAATGTGGTTATAAACCTATAAATGACCTCAGTGTACCGTTATAATTCAAAACCGAAAGTAAAAGTCCTGTTAATTTACCTATAAATACTACCTTCATCTTCACCCAGTAAAGTTTCAATAAAAATAAAAAAATATTATTGGACAGGTGTCGATAGTGTTTCACTCAGCGGCCACACTCAAGTTCGACGAGGCTCTACCCACAGCAGTGGAGCAGAACGTGCTCTCTGTGATGCGTCTCATGGATATTTGTGACACTCTTCCTAATTTGCAGGTATAAATAAAGCTTAATAATTAAAGCTATATATACTATAATCAGAATACTACTTTAATTGCGAAAGTTTGTGTGTATGAATGTTTGTTACTTCTATACTTGAATTGGCTGGACGAATTTGTAATTGAATTGAAAATTGTGATTGAATTGGGTTAAATAGACTATGAATTTAAAGTAAGTGGCAAGTCACTAGTTCAATACAAAAATAATCTAGACTAGTATTATCAAGAGCTAAAGTTTGTGAGTTTGTGATGTTTTACGGGGTAATCTCTGGATCTACTGAACCGATTTAGATTAAATTTTGTAAGGAGATAGTTTGAGACCCTGGAAAGGACATAGGATACTTTTTATCCCGGATATCATCCCTTAAGGGGGGGGGGGGCGAATGGGTATAAAGTTTGTATTGGGAAGCAAGCTAGGGACGAACCCTAGCTAGTGATGAGTCGCTAGTGGTAATAGTTGACGAATTGATAAATGTATGACTGATGACATAATTATTACAAAGACAACACCTTATACGAACGCGCATTGGTAAGTATTGATAGATAAACCGTAGTATGATAAAAATTTAAAGTTGCTAATAATTAACATATGGTTTTTACAGGCTCTGATTCACGTGTCTACAGCATACAGCAACCCTGAGCTCAGCGTGGTTGAGGAGAAGGTGTACCCCGCCCCAACATCCGTTTCCCGGCTCCTGGCCCTCGTGGATGCTGTGCCGCCATCACTGCTGGCCAGCATCACTTCAGAGTGAGAAAAATCATATCTTGTAGTTATAACTTAATATTACCTGATTGTGGAGAAATAATTTCTTGTTTCAATGTGACAACACGTTTCGCTCAGTTTGTAGTGACCCTACTTGCTGTGCCAGCGGTCGCGGGTTCGAGTCCCGCTTAGGGCATTCATTTGTGTGATGAACACGAATGTGTGTACTCCAGTCATGGTTGTTTATATTTATAATATGTATGTATTTAAAGTTGTATATATGTAATGTATCAACTGTCTCGTATCCATAACACAAATCTCGTAACTTACCATGTAATAAGATGGTGCTGTGTGTTGATGTCCCAACATTATATTTATTTATTTTAATTTCTTTTTAAGCTACTAGCGAATACTACGAATTTTGAAGATACACTAACGTCTCTCGTTAGTTGTCAATGTTTGTATAGTTGGCTGTTGGACATACATACATATAATATATACCTATGTAGGTATAAGTTAAATAATCGCGTAAATCTAAGAAAGTACTAATTAATTTTCACAGATACATCAAACCGAAGCCGAACACCTATACTTTTACCAAAGCCATGGCGGAGGAGGTCGTCCAGAGCCGCGCCAACAAATCCTACCCTATTGCTATCTTCAGACCAACTATTGGTAAGATTAAGCTAATAATCTTGATCATATTTTTGGCAATATAATTATTTAGAGTTACGCTCTATGATATAACTAAGCTCATTGTCACTTCTCTATATTTTGTGGTCTTAAATGAATGTTAAAGACTTCGGGTACCTACCAAGCTAGCAATGCCAGAGTTGTTAAAAGTAAATTAAATAAAATAATACGAGAAAACCTATATTAAAATAATTCCTCAAGAAAATATAAATGAAATAACATGTTCTTAATGAGATTTACATATATTTTTTAATTTAACTGAGATTGGGGAACTCAATCACCACTGAGAATTTAGCTATTAATTAATAAGTTGGTACTGCGTATTCGTAGATGGTTTATCCCAATTACAAACAGTTATATTCTGAAAGAGTTCTTTTATTTTTATTTTACGATATTTTGCAAATTTTAGTGTAATGCAAAATAAGTGCAATATTTTTATAAAATAAAATATTTCGGCTTCTATATCAGTAAAAAATAAACCAAAAACACCACTAATTATGTTCGCTCAACTTTTTGTATGGGATGGGATACTAGTAAATATGTCATCTGTGATTTTACTTTTTTTTTAGTGATATCCTCACTCCGCCATCCCTATCCTGGATGGATTGAGAACTTGAACGGACCGAGTGGTGTAGTGGCAGCCGCTGGCAAGGGCTTGCTTCACGTCTTCTGCAGGAAATCCAAGGCGAGGGCCGACTTAATGCCAGTCGATATCGCCATAGATACGCTACTTGCTATAGCTTGGGAGACTGCTGTGGACAAGTTAGTATCGAATTGTTGCTCATTCGAATTAGAATATAGAGAATACTAGCATTGTCCGCGGCTCCACCCGGGTTCAGATGACCAAAAACCAAATTCTTAGGTTTTACATATTAGTATACTCTTACATTGCAGTTTTTGTATTTTTTCTCAGAAATTAGACATTTCCCGCGGTAAAAGTATCCTATATGTTGACCCGGATAACCAGCTATCACCATACCAAATTTCATCAAAATCCCTCCAGTGGTTTTTCTGTGATGCGGTAACAGACAGACAGACAAAAACTCTAAAAACTATAGATTCGGCATCTGCATCGATAATAATGTCTATTTCAATAAGATTTTCCAAAATATATTTCATGTACAGATTCGGCTCAGTTACAATTTTATTATATGTATAGAAGATGAGCTAACCCGACAGACGTGGACGTGCTCCAATTTCGCTATCTTCTAAAATTCACAATATTCCAGAAAACTTTTTCAATTCTTCACCATAGATACATTAATCAGATACGGACACTTTTAAAAATAGCCAAATCATTTTTAATTGATACGGTTACCAATAAATAGCATAACATGTTGTTTATTGAACAGAACAAAGAATTTTAACTTTTGTCTATTAAGCTTTCATATTGTCCGCAGGTTACCAGAAGTCCGCGTGTATAATTGTAGCACGTTTGAGAATCCGACCACGTGGGGGCAGTTCGAGGAAGCTCTACACAAGTTCCTGCCACAGTATCCCATGGACAACTGCCTGTGGTACCCCAGTGGCTCCGGCGTCGAGAACAGGTTACCATTACTAATATTATTTTGAAATATACTTATCTATAATTATTATCTTTTTTGTGGATTAATTAAATGTAAATCTTTGAAGAGCCTTTTGTCGAAGGACAAACTGTTCTATGATTGATATATAAAAAATCAAGACGTACAATTAGCGTCTCAAAAGTATTCTCAAAAAAAGTGCACAATTCTAAATTATGCGCTTTTATAAAATAAAGATAGACTTCAAAAAAGCACTGAAAAGTAAAAAATAACCGATTGGTACTTTTCATTTACTATACATACCTAATCAGATATTTTCGAAGTCGGTGTGCTTTGTGTATCAGCTGGCACCAACTTCAAAAATATCTGGTTAGTGATTAGGTATGTATAGTAAATAAAACTACCAATCAGTTATTTTTTTACTTTTTAGTGTCTTTTTTTGAAGTTGGTTTTTATTAATTTTTTAATGTTTTTAATTTTCTATTTTTAGTGTAACATAGTAGTAGCAATTTATTGATTTATTCATACTATACAACAAAAACATCCCTAAGGGTGGATTTTTTTAAATTAAATGGGACCAACTTTGATACCCTATCCAATAAAAAAAAGAATCATCGAAAACGGACTACACTGTAAAAATTAATGCGTGGATAAACACAAAAAAAAACAAAATATATCTACGTGTCGAATTGAGAACCTCCTCTTATTTTTCGGTTAAAAAAACGTGTTCAATGCTATATTATGTCTGTTAATTCGTTGCAGATACTTGCAGAAAATACTGGCGTTCTTTTTACAGACCCTTCCTCTATATATGGCAGAATATATTATTCGAACACTTGGAATAAAGATGAGGTGAGTTGCTTATATTGATTCATTTATTTAGAGTTTAGATTATTATTTGACGAATTCTCAAAAAACTTGTTTTTTATCGAGCTCCTATTATAAATGTGAAAGTGGGTGTGTTTGGATGTCTATTACTCCTAAGAGTTAAAATAGCTGGGAGGATTTGGATGACTTTACCTACACAGACAGACTAACAGTAATATATAGGTTACTTTTAGGCAAGTACAGACGCACCCGAGTAGAACAAGGGGAATACGCTAGTTCACATACACGCGCACACGCACACGCACACGTGCGCACACACACACACACACACGTGCGCACACACACACACACACACACACACACACACGTGCGCACACACACACACACACACACACACATGTATTATACAGTATTTTACGTAACTTCACTTAGTACATTTAAGTTAAATTTTTATTTTACTTTTTATTTTATTTTATTCTTTCACAAAGAATTTCTAAAATTAAGTTAAACATGCACCGTAATATTATTGACCTCCAATTAGAATTAGAATTAAAGATGGAAGAGGGCGCTGACTCCTGACATACAGGTTTATTCTAGTTTGGGAGTCAGAGGCTTCAACAGGCTCATGTAACAACAAACAATTGTGTCAATAAAGATATATTCTATTCTATTCTAAAGTACTATGTCCGAGGCACGGGGTTGAAACACCGACAACTTCCCAACTCCGAGCTGTTCTTGAGAATTGCTCGACAGTCGGCAGAAAAACTTAGTAACTAAACTTGGCCCGACCTGGGACCCGAACGACCTGGGTTCGAGTCCCGAGTTGGTCTCCGGATCTACAGCCGTACATGCTAGCCACTAGACCACCGAGAAAATAGACAAAAAAAATATTTCTTCCAGGATAAGTCTTATAACAGCGGACCAGAAGATGCGTGCAATGAGCGATGTCCTCACGTTCTTTAGCTTACGAGAGTGGGAGTTTAAGACAGGCAATATAGCGCGGCTTCGCGCGAGGCTCTCGGCGAGCGACCGCTCCATATACAACCTAGATCCAAAGACTATAGAGTAAGTATGAAAAAAATATTTTGGAAGTAAATCTTTTTGATTAGTATGTTTGTAAATTCTAATTATAATGCTCTTATGTTTTATTAAGATTCCTTTCACTTGATTTTTGCACCAAATAAATGATTGTTTATTCTGATCGGTTATTTCCATCTGGAGATGATATATTTTAATGGAAACTGGATTTGAGAACTGCCTACCTTGAAATACTGACCTTGGCATAAAAGATGGGGCTTCGATTTTTTCGTTTTATAATCGCAACTAAGGATATATAATACTATTTCTTATTGGATTAAATTGTAGATAAAATGTCAGAATTAACGATCTAAAAGGCATAATAATTTGCAAAAGTCGAATTTATACATACCTATAATAAAATTCTGAGTCGAATCCGTACCTAAGTATATTCAATATTTTTTTGGAAAATCTCATTGAAATAGTCGTCATTATCGTTACACAGGCCGAATTCATAGTTTTTAATATTTTTGTCTGTCTGTCTGGGAACGCATCGCGAGAAAACCACTGGACAGATTTTGATAAAGTGTGTGTAAAAATGATGCTAGCGGGTCAACATATAGGACACTAAAATACCTCATCTCTGAGAAATCTACAACGTTAAAACATATATTTAGTATAATAAAACGTATAATAGTAGGTTTAGACTACACAATCATTGGAAATGTCATGTTGTCATGAATTAGTTATAATTTTAAAGACCCGATTTTAAAATAAATCAAAAGTAATATGTACCTACCTATATGCCAAGATGCTTTACAGTGTTTATATTTAAACGTACTATCTTTGCAGCTGGGAAGATCATTATAAGAACTTCATCAAAGGCACCAGAAAGTACTTGCTTAAGGAAAAAGATCAAAACCTAGAAGAGGCGAGAAGACACGTCAATAGGTAGCAATTCTAAATATTAAGAAGTTGTGAGGATTAAATATAGACTCTATATATTATACAATATACGAAATATATATTAAAATATTATATAAATACTAGCAGAACCCGCGGCTATGCCCGCGTTCAATATACAAAAAAAACTCTTTGGCTTTAAGTTACCACCTATTCTCATACCCAGTGTCGGATTTAACCTTAGCGCCAATGCAAAAAAAAATCATAAATAATATCATTTTTTTTTAAATGTAGTTACTAGTCAATCTTTTTTATTTTTCATTTTTTGGAAAATTAAAAAAAGTATTTTCGAAAACGCGAAGAAATTTTTATCCCATCCTCCGAATTTTGCTACCCCTAAAAATTTGCCGCCCTAGAAACTAGCCCCGAGTGCCCCTAGTATAAATCCAGCGCTGTTCATACCTATCAAATCGGTCGAGCCGTTTCGGAGGAGTGCGACCACAAATATACAATATATATTATATTTTAGAGCTCGTTATATTATATGTATTTATATAAATACAATATATATTATATTTTAGAGCTCGTTAGTGGCTAGGACAATATGTAACTAATTACAAAATTCAAAAGATTTTTTTTGCCGCAGAAGTCTTAAAAACAGCTTAGATTTTGGAAATGAATTGTATAAAATACACGCCATATTTAATTTAAGTTTTTTTTTTCAGAATGTACATCTTACACAAGGCCGTATTATTCTTCTTGGCGATCCTTCTCTTCAGGCTGCTGTTGCAGAGCACATCAATTCGTGACATCGTGTATGGATTTGTGAGACTGATGCTATCTCTTTTCTTCGCAGCGTACAGCCGTGCGATAGAAGTTGTATGAAAGAGATAGATATTAGTTCTATTTTAACTTAAAATTGTGATGAGGTTTTATTTGAAATATTTAATACATTTCGTATTCGATGTATCATGTAGGGTATTGAATGAACGAACGGTGAACAAAGGTGTTACATATCGATGGTCATTTTATGACGACAAAATAGCTGTAGCAGCTTTTGTCTTTAAGTACAGTGCCAAATGCTCCACGACGTTGGTAAATCTTTGCTGGCCTCTTGTTATTAGTTGATGGTAACACCAAATATTGGTTATGGTTTTGTTTGTTGACAATAGGCATTTGACATAGGATCCATAAGAATTATGTTTCAATTTTGCATCTCTAATAAGAATAAGCAAATATAGATAGGTTATTGAGATTCACTGTTAATTCTAGAAAGTTTATCAATAGAAATATACTTAAAATTGTAGCCAATAAACAAGTTGGACCGCACTGTTATTTTATACATATCCAATTCAATTCTATTCAATTCCAAGCACAACATACCTACTCGGTATTGAATTATAATTGCTCAATTATTATAGTACCTATATTATTAATAAGATTTTAAAGGGTCCGAATAGTGGTTCAAAAACAGTTATAATCGAGAAGAAAATCGATTTTTAACAAAACGAGTATTATTTTTCGGTAATTTTTAGTGTTGGGAAGGGTCGAATTTAACCACTTTTCCATTATCACCTATTTTAATTTATATAAAAAGCATTCGCAGAATATTGACGACATTCTGTGTAAACTGCTTTATTTTTATCGAAACAAAAGCTTCAAAGTACACAAAGAGGTAGTTTGAAATGGGAGGAATTCAATTCATTTTTTTTAATTTATTTATATTCCTCCACAATAAATCATTTCAACTTGCCAAAAAATATAATAACGTGAAAATTATTTAAATTATGGTAATGGTGCTATTTATTATTTTTCATGTAAATAATTCATCGTATCGTATGAAAAAAGCTTTAATAAACTTTTGTAATTAGAATTTATTTGTTTTATTGACATTTAACATAGGAATGTGTTTATTTTATTACAAATAAACATATTATCTCGGCAAACTCGCTGGAATTAATGTAAAATTCCTCTCCCGCCCCCCTTCATCTCCCTGTGCTCGTCCTGATGCGCATGTACAGTCAGCATTTAATTATTTTCAATAATTTATTGTACAAATTCATTGGAAATGAAAATTATGCTATTGTAGCATACTTCAAGTGTGTCTTTATATTTCAGACAGTCAGATATAATTTTATATAAAAAATTGTAAACGAATGCGTAGTATTTACATTTTTATGGGACGCGAACCCAGGTGTATTGGGTTATATTTTAGAATAGGGGAAGTAATAGACAAGACAGAGCTTTAAGGAAATCAAGGTGACATAAGTTATGGTGACTTCAATTATAACATATCTCCTTATGAATTTCATGATATTCACTGTAATTTTGACATTTCTAATCCTTCTGAATTCTGATTCATTCGTATAGGTTTATAATTTTATCCTACGTGACATTGGCGAAATAATCTGTGCTTAACATCAATAAGAGAATTGAATCGAATAAAATAATTTTTAAGTTCAAATCAGATCTGTAGAGAACTATTGTTTTAAGGATGGATCCGTCATCAAATAAAAAATTAACGTAAGGGACAAAATATAAAGTAGGAGATTCAGAGTTCGAAAAAACCTAACGCAAAGGGTAAGACAGAAGCTACGTTACAGTCCACTTCCACTTTCTCTCCCGTAGATTAGTGAGAGATAGGTACTACGTGTTCTCTTCTACCATGACTTTGATCTAATAGATCCGACTCGTGTATGGTACGTATAGCACGTATGGGATATTTTAATTTAACTTTCAATATCTTTAAAATTATTTTTACATTTTAATATTCACCTTGAGGCCGCATTTCATATTATACTAAAGTACCGAGGAAAATTAATATGAACGAATAATCATATAGTATCACATTATGCATGTAGATATATTATTGAGTGCGCAGGCAGATCTGTGTGTGACTATATCCGTGCATCGTGAGTATTTACATATATGTAACATAAGAGATGAAAACTACGTAAGCATAAATTTATTAATGAGCAAGTTATTTAAAAATGAAGACTACTATTATAAAAGTAGTAGAAGATTATATACTATTTTAATACGAATAATTATTCGTAATTTAATGTAAGCAAAATAGCATCTGTCTACGTCCAAACACGGTGAAAAACGACGTTGTGGAATGTAGTTAATTGTTTGTCACTGTCAAATGTCAAAACATAGGAAAATTTAAATCACGTCGAATTTTATCGCGGGAGGAACGGAGGATGATTTGCTAATTGGATTTTTAAATCGTAAAAATGTTTAATAAAGTTTTCCAACGTGCCCTAAAGTTTCGTTTGAGGAAAAGTTATCCTACAAATATATACGATATCTCCCGAGGCGCTGCCGTAGCGGTGCGGAGACCGTACAGCGATGAAGTAAAACGCGCGCAAGCCGCAGACGTAACTTCTACCGGTCCAACAATATTCGATAAAATAATATCTAAAGAAATCAAAGCGGACATTATTTACGAAGACGAACTCTGTTTGGCGTTCAACGACGTTTCTCCGCAGGCGCCGGTGCATTTCCTAGTTATACCAAAACGGAGAGTCCCTCGACTGCAAGACAGTGAAACTGGAGACAAGGAGGTTGGTATATGGCTAGTAAGGCGTATTGTAATAATTCATAATATACAGATTAACATTTATTTTATTGTTGCAACTGACTTTCGCTTCGCTCGGGTGCGTCCCTATGTGCCAATCAGTTTCCTATATAGCTACCAGTTGACTCCAGGCCGTAGTTGTATCTGTGTATTAAATTTCACCAAAATCTGTCTAGCTGCTAGACTAGCCATTACATAATAAAAGAGTAACAAACATTCACACACATAAAAACTTTTTCATTTATAGTATTCTCTCTATATACATACATGTCAGATTAAGATATATTGATATGTTAACTTCTTACATATTATTAAATTTAATTATTTACTACTCCAGTTCATCCCTATTTTTTGCCCCCTTATGGGCTGATTTCCAGGATAAAAACTATCCTTAGTCCTTCATAGGGTCTCAAACTATCTTTTTACCAAATTTCATCTAAATTGGTGGTTGCTTGGAAAATATAAAAAAAATTAATCTAGCTTATTGTGGAATTAATTTCCAATATAGTTTTATGAGTATATACAAATTGCCTATTATTTTCAGGGCACTATGTTAAAAAATATTTAAAAATATTCTGCTAAGGAATGTCACAGTTGTAATTAACATATCACCTTATCTAAGCAATCTGATTGCTGTCATACATATGAAAAGTCATTCTTTTGCTATATAATTAAGTATCAAATTCAATTAGAAAATTTAATAAAAACATAATATACTATGTAATGTTTATCGACCACATTCTTCTATGCTTTGTCATATTTACTGTGTAATTAGGCAATTGATTGAAGTGTAAAGTCTAGATTTTTATGCCACTTTGCACTTTTTCTATGAAGAAATTCAAATTTCTCAATAATGTCATGGTATTGTATGTAGCTCAGTGGTAACACTGCTTAGTGCTTGCTTGGGAAACCAAGTGAAGCGGGTTCAAAACCCGGGTCTTGCACCTCTGATATATTCATGTGCAAATCAATTCTAACATGATTACCATTTTCCTTACGATGAAGGAAAAAATCGTGAGGAAACCTGCATGTCTGAGAGAGCTTAGCAAGTTTTCGAAAGACATGTGAAGTCTGCCAACCTGCACTTAGCCAGCGTGGTGGACTATGGCCTGATCCCCCATCGTATTGAAGAGAGACCCGTGCCCAGCAGTGGGACATTAAAAAGGATGGAATACATTGTGACAGTATATTTAGCAAAAGAATGGTGTCCTAAACTTTTACCTAGATTTATTCTAAATTTAGTGGCCTTTGCAGATTTTGTAAGAAGTACACAAACAAGAATATATTATAATAAGTATCGATATTATCACTACAGTTCATGATAATCTGCTAAAATGTAAAATTTAATTATTGACTCGGTAAAGTTTTCAATTAATTTCAGTCAAAATTTAAACCAAATTACAACTTGTATATAAATAAACATTGATAAAATATACAAGTGCTTTTCAAAGTTCATTCTAAACAAATCCAGTTTTCTAATATTACGATAATATACTTAATAGAAAGGTTGATAAATTATACAGTAGCCAAGTATCTACAAACGTTATTGATTAGATTACAGCTCCGTACTTGCAATGTTACCATTTCTTTATATGTGTTGAAATAACGCTGATTAAATGTTTTTCATTTACATAATTATTATTTAAACAAACAATATGAACATATTATAATATGCTTAGATTAAATTATTATACAAGCCCATCTTTTTTTTTAACCTTGGAAAATGCATTTACGCACAAGCCCACCTGTAGGTTTGGTAGGTTTATTCGATACATATACTAGTATACATTTTTTATTGCAAACAAAAGTAGTACACAACATGGACATATTTAGAAGGTAAAGAAAAAACATTGTAAACATCAGTTCGCATATTTTTTTCACATTTGTTTGTTCTTTAAGTTTTTTATTCAGAAAACTCGAGCTTTTAGCTAGGTGCCTAACTAGTCTTTACTTACTCTTAGACTTTATTAAGTTTATTTTATTTTATGTTAAAATTTTGTACACATTTTGTCTATCTGTGCAAAAATTTATCTAAGTCTGTCCAGCCGTTTCTGCGCGAAGGAATAACAAACATATTACACAAACTTTCGCATATATATTGCTGTGTGATGTGTACTACAATTATTTATTTCATTCTCAGCTCCTAGGCCACCTCATGCTGGTAGCTCGTTCTCTGGGGGCTGCTCGAGCCCCACAGGGCTGGCGCCTCGTCGTCAACAACGGCATGCACGGGGCACAGAGTGTATACCATTTGCATCTGCACGTTCTTGGGGGCAGACAAATGAAATGGCCCCCAGGTTAAGAAACACAGACTGATTATAAGGGGCTGTACAGTACGAAATTGGACGTCCAAAATATAATAAAAAATAGACTTCAAAAAAGGTAAAACGAATTGCGAATTTTAACGATTTCAATAAAATAACCGACCTTTAAATAGAAATTACAATTAGATACTGATAATATTTTTTATATTATGTCTTTCCTTGTTCAGCCCCGGGGGCACATTGGGGAGTAAACGTGGGGTAGTATTAATGCAATCGTGCCTTACATTAGTTCATAACTAATTATATTTCAGCTAGTTTCTTAGACAATTTTGTGATATTGAAATTTTATTACGCGTATTTTCCATGTTATTCGCGATAGTTATGTTTGTCTAATGCGATAGTGCCGTCTCTATGTGATGATAACGACAAAGCACGGTTATATTCTTTACTGTATTATATTTGAATTCTAATACAGCTAATGAATGACTTATGTTTCTTAATAAGCTATGGAATGTCTAAGAAAGGCTGAAAATTTTGCTAAGCCATAAATAAACATATAAATGCCATATAAATTTGTAAATTGAAACTAATTCGATATCAAGTTCTGTTGATTTCATAAAATCGGGTTTTTTTAAATTGGTTACTTTTAAATACAACAGTTTCTAAATCTCTAAAGAAAAAAATAACTTTAGAAAATAATAATCATATTACACTGCTTCGTGCAATAGAAGGCCAAATTAATTATAAGTAATATATGATAATTTAAGTAAAATGCCAAAGTTTGAACGAGCCGGTATGGTTGACTTAATTAATGGTGTCAAATACCAGTGTAATATTTAGGTATTTATAATGAAAATAAAGTTTCACTTTGCCCCTATTAGAAATAGGAATATGGCAAAACTTTTGATTTTATGTGTTTCAAGTAAGTTGAACAAAAGTGACTCGAGATGGCGCCGATTCTTATTAAATTTATGCCCATTTTCATTAACATATTCTAAATTACATCTTATCTAAGGACTAAGAATCTCTAAAAATAAGAGCCTATACGCACTACAACTTTTTCAACGCGCTATTGACGCGTAGTGAAAGAGCTGTTGATACGCGCTTTTCGTGCGTTCCTCTTGATACGAATGCTAGCAATCTGCGTTTTTTAAGTTTGTACGTTTGTATGCGTCGTCAGCGCGTTCATAAAATGTAGTGTGCATTGGTCCTAATTCGCTGGTTTTACATTCATATTTATCAACTAGGACTAACCTAAATATCGAAACTCTTCTCATTCAATACTTAAGAATTTTTTTAATAAAGTATTGTTTTATAGAATCGACTTTTATAAACAATATACACAAAACCTAACCTAACAATAGTTACTGTTTCTTACCGTTAAGTAAGAAGATAAATTGTAGGGAGCCTCTTGAGCCCATAATTTGACTTAATTTCACTTTAATTTTGGAATAGTTCACGAAAATGGACATTAGACTTAAATATTGGACCCTATGTTAAGACATTTTAGGGCAATTTATAAGAAGCGTCGATCTTTAACCCAGTTGTTACTGCCTGCAGCCAAGCAGAGGACCTTCAAGTGTTTATTTTTTTTATTTCAGTTCCATTCTAGCTTTGAATTTCAATAATATCTGAATTAGAATCTCAGACAAAAATTAACCTTTCTAGTTAACATTCTAGTCATTTTTCAAATTAGCCAAATGAAAAAGTAAATGCCATTATTTAATATCGCCGTACTGCGCTTCTCAAACTGTGGTGTTTTAGGTTTTTTTTTCTTTAATACAATAATAAGTGTGGCAATCTTCTCAGCAACTGGTATTATCGTGATATATAAACGTTAATATATTTTTTTAATTTATTTCAATTAATAATATTCTAAAATTTGTTGTTTTTCATATTAAATTTACATGTATGGTTATTTTGAATTGCTAAATAATATTAAATAATCATTTTTTGTATTACTTTTTCATACCCGGGTTACATTATATTATTATTAAAAATGCAATCTTATTAGAAGACATACGTTTACTAAACGTCGCGAGTTTCGTTTCCGAAACTTTTGAATTAGAAGATTATTATGTTTGAAGGTTGTCACGACGTAGGTAGGTTTGTTTTTATATGAGTGTTCCTTTTCAATAAAGACACATATATTTTTGTAGCGTTAAATGTTATTCGTATACCTAATTATTGACTTATGGATTACATTATACTACTCGGTAAATTGGGCATAATGATATTTTGTTTGAACAAAAATTGAAACGATCTGATTTTTATACTATTTGGTTCAACGTCTTTTGTTTTTGATTTTATTTATCAAAAACGCCAAAGTGAAGTGTACCAAAAGGACATAACATATATAGTATTTGAACGTTATGTAATGTGCTGATTTAACTATTTTATTTTATTTATTTGCCAATGATATTTTATTCTGCAATGCATGCATATATTATATTGCAAAAATAAATTACTTTGCAAATGCCCTAATATAATTAAATTGTATAACAAATTGAAAAACTATGTGAGCGAGACGAAGCGTTGATACGATCAGTTGTCTCTCTCAGAATTGAAATTGGTCATATATGTACATATGTCAGGGTTGGATCCAGAGCCTCAAAAAATATTGTACATAGATAATAAAATTATACTACTTGTCCAAAATTATACTACGTTTGACGTTTCATGTTTTTCACGTTTCGTTTTACGGCGTTTTTGTATTGAATTGAAATAAACTTGCATAAGTATTTAAATTGAAAGAGAAAAAAAACAATGGAAAAGAAATTTGTTAAACAAATCTACTTTCAATATACAATTTTGATGATGAATATAATTTCTCGTGTTTTTCCCCTCAGAATGAGTCGATAAAACATGCTTTGCGGCCATCATTGAAACATTACATACTTTACATCGTGCTTTGAAATTATATTGAGGATCACGAGTAAGCCACTTACTAAATTTTGGATCACTCTCCCATTCGACTCTGTATTTTTGTTGTCTATGTTTTTCCTTCACTTTTAAATCGCCTCTTTCAACGCGTTTCTTCTTTGGCGTCGAAACACCGCACTTTGTGACTTTTATTCGCCCTCACTTTCTCTCATGATTACAAATTGAGACTACAAAATAGTTTATTCTCAAAATTGTCAAAGCGTAAGAAACAATAATGTACACACGTCACACACTACAATATTGTACTAGTTTATAACTTTATACTAATGTTAAATGTATCTATACTGCAACAATTCACTGTCAAGTTTTGTGCTTAGTCAAAATATTGCTATGAACATGATATGACGGTAATATTACATATTACATTACCGTGAGATATCGTCTCTCTCGCAGTTATTTATAATTCGGTCCAATTATGTTTATGACAAAAATGTCAGAACGAATGGAATAGTAAAACATCACATGGGGAAACCCCGCCCACCTTGTCATTGCCTGATTTGGTGTTGCCGTACGTTCAGAAATTCCCGAGATTGTAGAGTTAATATTAAAAAGTAAAAGTACTCACCAATAATACAAGTCGATCGACCTAAAGATAAAATTATAGTATTTTTACGTAGTATAGTGGCAATACGATACTACATACTACACACTATGAAATAATGGTACAAATAGTATAATTATACTACGAAATCCAACACTGACATATGTACACATGTCATGTTAAAAAGACAAATTTCTCAGTACCTCATATATCCGTAATTAAGTTAGATATTTTGATGGCATTCGATAAATATATTTTACTTAGAAATACGGCTCATCCTCTATATTAAATCGATGTCACAAGCCTAATATTGAATAGTGTAATGTAATCTGTGGTAAAACCAATAATGTTAGAGGCTTTCAATGTAAAAGAGGCACAACTCCAAAAAAAAAAGAACGTCACAGATTTTGGTGTTAAAATTATATTATTAAGCACTTATTGATTTTGCAATAATCTCAAATGGGTAGGTTAGGCCCCTTTTGCATTGTCAATACATATATAATCTATATGAATTATTCTTACACAATGTCACGGTTTCGGGTCAGCGGGACGTTTATTCCATTATTTTCTTGGGAAAATGCTCGGAATGATGTCACGCTGTTATTGTTGTTTAGAATTTAATTTCACATTAAGTTCTGTAACCAAAGTTTTATGAATAAATATTATATAAAAATACTGGTTTTATTTTTATTTACTCGTACCTCTTAATATATTTGGAGGATGCGAATATTTAAAATTTTAAATAGAACTATTTTTTATCTATTTTAAAATGTTTAGAATTAAAATCGACAAATATTGTAAAGTACTTTGGTGCCATTTTTGAATAATTGAAATCATTTTGTAAAAATTGTGGGTAGGCACTGTTTGTAACAAGTTTACAGGGTCATTTTTAATTTACTGAAAACCTTTTGAGACGCTATAACGCTTTTGAGACGTCTAAAACCTTAAGTTTCTGCGGTGACCATGATTGTTGTAAAACATTCGAAACGTCGGGAACGAAAAATCAAAATAAATCCGCGAAATAATCCGAAAAGATAGTATTATTTTAAATATTTGAAGGACTTAAAAATTATATTGTTATATACACATATCTAAAAACAAAGCAGAGAGTCAAGAAGACAGTGTTTGAAGTTCCAAATGGTCTCTTACTTCGCTCTTTAAAGGTATTACTATTCCAATCTAATTGTAAGCTAAGTAGTGTTCAGAATTTTTTTTTACTATTAATGCTGTATTGTATTAACAAGAATATGGCCTCATCAGTCGATACAACAAATAGTCCTAGATTGACACTTTGGGTAGAATCTAAAATATGTATGAGACGGTCCTCAATACGATCGCTAAGCGAAGCTCGGCACGACACCCGAATGATGGCAGCACCGTCGGCAATATAGCCGACACCCGGCGAACTTCGTGCTACGACGGAGCCTATCTAATGGAGGGATGATATTAGGGCAGGTTTGAGGTTACTTGCCTTCGAGCCGAGCCGATATTAAGACCTCTCCACTAGGAATTGTCCAACGTTTCGCTTGGAAAAATTATTAAAAAGAGGTTGTTGCACACGCTATATTTTCTTTGTTAGAATTACTCTACTATTTGCCCACAAGATGGCCGATGATAGTACTAATAACATCCGTTAACAACTACCTACTTACAAATACTATTGTTTTTTTTTTATTTCTATGCTCCGTTTAACTCTTAAACTCAGTAGAATGTTACTAACACAGCGCAACCAAATATTATCTTAAAGTAAATGGAATAATAATAATAATGTTCTCCTGACCACCAGAGACGATCGCTAAGCGCAGAAGATATTATAGTATACTACACAAGCAAGGATGCGCGCAAATATGCTCAATGCACTCTATCTCTCCATTACACTCCAAACACCGGATCAGGCGCAGGACCGACTGATTTACATTCTCTCCGAGGCACAGAAATAACATCACAATAAGTTCTTGGTATACCCGGAACTCGAATCCAGGACCTCTACATATACAGCCAAACAGACAGTCGGTAGCTTAATATCCCACAGGAATATGATGTATCGATAAAAGATACTACAACGTTCTGAACTGTGTCTACGCATCATGTTGATAAGTTGTTACTTCACGAAAACATATAATAAACAATTTTTTTGGTCAATATATTTATTGGTTTATTATCAGATTTAACTTCTTCAACAATTACCTATAGGTATAACGATAAACATGATGGCGCTGCCGGGGCAGGGGCCGCGTAGCATACAGAGGCACAGGCAGGTGCGGGGTAACATGGGGCTGGGGCAGGGTAACATGGGGCTGGAGCAGGGTAACATGGCGCTGGGGCAGGGTAACATGGGGCTGGGGCAGGATAACATGGTTCTGGAACAGGATAACATGGGGCTGGGGCAGGATAACATGGGGCTGGGGCAGGATAACATGGGGTTGGGGCAGGATAACATGGGGCTGGGGCAGGGTAACATGGGGCTGGGGCAGGGCAACATGGGGCTGGAGCAGGGTAACATGGGACTGGGGCAGGGTAACATGGGGCTGGGGGCGCGCAGCATGGGGTCGGGGCAGGTGCGGCATAACATGGGGCTGGGGCAGCATAAGCTATTGGTGCTGGTAACGCACACGGTGTAGGTAACGCACACGGGTTTGGGCACAGAGGCGGCAGCAGCAGGTCTATCGCAGGCGGGGAGAGGCAGAAGCTCCCTGCTGGTAAGCATTGTGAAAATGCTTGCTGTGGAGTGGACAAAGATTGGTATTAAACGTAAATTAAATTAGCGAAGTTCATTTCTAGAATGTTTGCAACTGAAACTAATTTATATAAATAAAAATGTAAATGTTCGTTTGTGCGAAACCACAAATTTCCAAAATTTCTTCATCGATTGCTTCAAAATCTAGATAAACAAACACGGAAAAGATTTTTATCTCCATTTTTGTACCAGCGACCGTATATACCAATATGAAATTGGTAAACCTATTTGAGCACGGAGAAGTTTTTTAAGTTTCTTTGCCATTTAACCAACACTATAACGCGGCTAGGAGTTTGTAGAAAATTGTGTTATGATAAAAACTATTTTTAACCCCCAACGCAATAACGATGGGGTGTTAGAAGTTTGACGTGTCTGTGTGTGGCGTCGTAGCTCCCGAACGGATGAACCGATTTTGATTTTGTTTTTTTTGTTTGAGATGTGAATTAGTAGGTTCTTAGCTATGTTTGATGAAAATCGTTCCAAGATAGCCGCCGCCATAAAATGGTGAATTACATGTCGGGTTTTTTTATTTTTAATTTATCTTACGATTAGATGGCTATTATTAAAAAGAGATAGTCTTATGATACATCGAAACAACGCAGTAGGAAATTTAAAATAAAAGTAAGTAGAAAGGTATATACCTAAAGTAGCGTACCTTAGGTGATAGACACAATAAGTATTTTATCCGTTTAAAACGTAACAACTAGGGGCGCACTCGAGTGAAGCAAGGGTCGCTAGTCTGTACTTATTTTTGCCCAAGTAATTGAGCATCAAATAATTGCCTCGATATCGACAGTACAAGATCTACATTTTTTTGTTTATTTTTAAATAAGAAATACTACACACATCGAACTCAATGGGTTGTTCCGTGTCGGATACATATAAGTACACAACCCCTAATATTATTAGAACTTGGGACCTTTAGCCTCCGACCACTGCACCAGGCGGTCTTCAAAAATCTATCTATACATATAATTAATGAATGAATGAGGCCGAATGTCTGTTTATAGAAAAAATGCTATAAAACCGAGTCAGGGGGATGTAAGAAGAGAAATAGAACACATCCAGTTTGTTTTGTTTCTCTGTCTGTTTATCTGTTTGTACGGGCTAATTTCGGAAACTGCTGGACCAATTTAAATAAAATTTTGCATGGTACCACACCTTATATCGCCGGTCAACATTTAAGATACTTTTCATCCCGGAAAATTCAAAGAGTTCCCGTGGGATATTTAAAAAACTATAGTAACTTATACAGCTTAGTACACCAAAACTACTGATTGGATTTTAATGAAACTACAATAGTTCATATGTCAGCACCAGTAGGATACATTTTATCCCGGAAAATGTACGGTTCCCGTGGGATATATTTGTTTTTGTTCGTCAAGCCAGTAGTAAATAAAAATGTTAAATGATCTCACCTGCAGTAAGCTGAATAAGCAGATGTAAATCAGCGTCTTCATCCTGTCGAGTGTGCCTTCGGAACTGCCCCACACCCTATATAACGTTCTGTTTGACATATTTTTGCAATCCAATAACACATTTGAAATATACTTAGTAAATATTACACAAGTTTTCAATATTTCGTTATATTATAAAAGAAATTTGTGAATACGTAATAATATTGTGTTATCGTACCTGGAAATTGTCACGTCGCTGTTCTTGCTTATAATAAATAGATAAATCACATAAACTTTGGTTTTAAAATATTTTTTGGCCTCGAAGGACCTTTGAAAGCATCTAATGGCGCCCTTTTCCTTTCGTAACAGTATGTACAGATTAATTATTTTAACAAAGAGATTCTACTCTTGAAATGTTTAGATTGTTAGAGCGCAAGTGAATAAACTTCAAAATTTGGTCTGATAGTTTACAGAAAACCCAATCGATTTTTAATGTTAATGTCTTAATGGGGCGTCGCAGGATCGCTTACGCACTCAACCACGACGGCCCGACGGCCGTCGCCCGGATCAGACCACATCAACCATGGGGTTCCTCCAATAGTCCACTCCGCTCTATCAGGCAAGGCGGGGGGGTGCGTTCCATATACTATACCCACTGGAACGTTTAACATCTCTCTTCTCGTTTTAGCTTCATCACCATCCCTAACTTTAAATACATATATCTTATAAATATAAACACCAAAGACTGGTGTACAAACATTCGTGCTCACCACACAAATGAATGCCCCTAGCGGGACTCGAAACCGTGACCACTGGCAAAGCAAGTAGTGTCTTTACAAACTGAGCTAAACGTATCGTCAAAATATAGGTATTGGGGTTTTCTGTCAAGAAATTCTCAGTAACAGTCGGGTGTTATGAAGTCGGCAGTATGTTCCAGCCCCGTGACGAGGCAGATCACTGCGCCTCATTTTTCTCGAGTTGGAATCCAACTGGATTTGATCTCGATTGACTGTCATAATCGAAATTGTTCAAGAGATTGGTATATGTAAAACATTTCGAAAATCATTAATTTTGTTTTCCGACCACAGTTTTAAAATGTTGCGAAACTAAAATTTTAAAATATATACATTTGAATCGTACGCAATAATCAAATGCCACTACGTCACTATCGTATATCCCACCCACACACTAATTATTTTATATAAATATGTATGTAACTGCCTCGGTGGTGTAGTGGCTAGCATGTACGGCTGCACACCCGGAGGTCCTGGGTTCGAATCCCGGGTCGGACCAAGTTTAGTTATTGAGTCTTCCTGTATAGTAAGTCTCAGTAACAGCCCGGAGTTGGGAAGTTGGCAGTGTTTCACCCCCGTGCCTCGGAGAGCACGTAAAGCCGTCGGTCCTGCGCCTTAACTCTCACCGGTCGTGTCGAGTGGTCGTCCCACCGGAGTATGAGAGTGATAGGAATAGAGTGCACTTGTGTCTGCGCGTACACTTGAGCACTATAATATCTCCTGCGCAGTTGGCTAATCTCATTGAGATTGGCCGCCGTGGCCGGAATCGGCTAGGAGAACATCATCATCATCATGTACAGAGATGGTTTTATATTAGGGGCACTCGGGGCTAGGGCGGCAAAATTGGGAGGGTGGGAAAAAAAATCTCTTCGCATTATCGAAAACGCTTTATTTTCCAAAAAATGATTAATAAAAAAATACTATTGCATTTTTTGAAAAATTAAAATCTTTTATAAATTATTTTCTGCAATTTTCAAAAAAAATATAATTAAAAAAAACTTAAAACTTCCATTTTATGCATATCATATGATAACGCGAAGACATTTTTTTTTCCGCCCTCCGAATTTTGCCGCCCCTAAAAATTTACCGCCCTGGGCACTAGCCCCGAGTGCCCTTAGTGTAAATCCAGCGCTGTGTGTACTAAAATTCATCCAAATCCGCCCAGTAACAAACATACACAGACATACAATTTTTCACTTTTATAATAATAGTGACATTAAGTATCTCAGTGAGGGTAGGAAATAAAACAATAATCAACGGCATCCGTACAATGTTTATTCATTTATAAGTTACGCGAGAGCCGCGAGTCGCCACCGGAGTAACACTATACATATAAATTAAATAATCTAAAACAATACTCCACAAAACAACTGTCGATAAAGAAATCTGGACGCCATCACGTTATGTCAGATCATTTAATATTTTATTTAAACTAGTTCTCGCCCGCGGTTCCTTTCACAGTAAAATAAAAGAACGCGTCGCTTAAACAAGATGTCATTATGTTTTTTTTTAAATGACTATAATCGTTATAGAATTAGAATATATTTTTAAATGACTCTTCTTCAACTATTCCAGAACGACATCTTGTCCAAGCACTTATATTTTGTACAATTATTCATATTTTATAAGATTAGATCTCCATGGTATCTATACAGACTCGCGTACAAATTTTCATTATGTATACAAAATGGCGACGGCGACGGCTTCATAACGATTATAACTAACTTTACCTACAATATACAACAGCTCATTGCACCTATGTATTCGAACTGCAAGCATTCTCTCTCTCTCACACCCACACCACTGTAATGAAGAAAAGAGATAGATATATAATATTACTTGGTTTGACTGATATATTTTTGAACTTAACATAATATATTTTTTATTAAACACTAAGTCAAAGGTTGTGACGTACGGATGTTAAAGAGTGTTCTAGAATATTCACTGTCAACATATTGTCGTTTCTCTCTAACACACGGACGGAAAGAGACAGATGCTTGCAAGGTCAAACGTCAACAACACCACACCGCCCGGTAGAAGATTCTCGAGAAACTTCATGCTGCCTTGTGCAATAATAGACAAATTATTGTCTCATTTCCAACAAAAGAACATGAAAATCGAGTTTAATCGCATACAAGTATTACAAAACGTATATAAAACATGCCTGTTTATCCGGAACATCCGCGCGTCGCGGCCGGAGAGCTCAGAATCGTAAAGCAAAATCCGAGTAAAATCAATGATTAATTATATTATTTAATATTTATAGTCTGTTTTTTAATTTCAGAGACAAAAATGACATTACGTGGGTTGCCAGTTTTTGGCAATTCTTAAACAGTGATGCACATCACTATCGAAAATTAACGTTAATAAAATCAAGTATCGTTTTTTATTATAAGTTATCCTAAAACAATGTGTACTTATTTATTTAATTAATAATGTAAATTTAAATTTAATAATGTGAATTTTAATGATACTTATTGATTTAAAATTAAGAAATATGATATTTAAATATTTAGATTTAATAATGTGAATTTTTAATGATACGTTTTGAAAAATATAACTTTTAAGTGAATCATCTAATAAAGATTAAAAGTCACGTTTCAACAAACAGGTACAGTAGGTACAACACTGCACAAAAGAGCTGGCAACATTATATGCAAATTTGACATTTGCATATGTCAATTTAGTCTCTGAGATTAAAAAACAGATTTTAATTTACAAGTGTCGTAACGTCGCGTCTGTTGAACATTGTTATATAAAAATACTATATTTACTTGTGGGTTTTATAAAAATTGACGTAAATCTACATTTTATTGCTCGATCAATGTCACCTTCATTCGTGAAGCCTTGTACGAGCTTTTAGCGAGATATAAAATTGGCAGCCAATTTTAGTTAGTGTCAGTTGCCGCTAGCGTTGCTAGATACTGGCCCTTTCATATTTAAAACTCGCACAAAGATTCAGTATTTGGTGTCATTTTATTTATTACAAGCTCTTAGTCCATTAGTTATAATTGTCGAGAGAATCGCACGATCAGAACGTGTGCGATCAAATTTGTAAAAAATATTAATTTTTGACAGAAAATTGAAATTAATTCTTTTAAAAATTTCATGTGACAATAATGTGCATATTTAAAACTTTTACGGTTAATAATAATATGTTAAAAATGGCGTATCATTAACTATTTAGAGCTTCTCAGCTGTAGAATAAGGTGTTGATAAAAAACAAACGCGACCGTATAATTTAAAACATGATCATAAATTTTCGTCAAATCAAAATATAATCATCAACGATATGATTAAAGTAATCATAAAAGGTACAAATATCTACCGCAAACATCTAAACGCAAATGTTTTAAATACGTACAAACTCTTGTACAATCAGCGACAAAAAATGATCTCACTGAATGAGCGCTCATTTGAAAATTTGATCGCGCTTTTATTTTTTTTTGTGAAAATAACTTTTATTATTGCATTTAAGGTTCAATTTACATTGTTGTATATTTATTTCAACTAGAATAATTACCTAAACACAATTGGTTGCAGTTTTAAAAGAACTTTTGCGTGTGATTATGTATCATTGTTATAAATAAAATTATCTTTAAAACTTTTTCGCGGATTTACTCCCCGCGGACTCAGTCTGTATTCTCTCCCGTGACCATGATTGCTGTAAACCATTCGAAAAAAAATCAAAATAAGTCCGCGAAAAGATCCTAAAGCATAGTTTTATTTAAAGTTAAGAAGTTGTCACGTTTTAGAGATATTATTTATTTAAGTATATTATATTCACGTATACCAATTTCATTGTGAACCATTAGTTTAGAAAAAGAATTGGATCGAAAACTGCCACAAAGGTTTCATCCTCTTAGTTGTCTTTCTACAATATAGATATCAGTAGCATTAGAGCATATAGTCCATTCGCTTTAAGAAAATAGTGAGCTATCAAGTGCAATGACTGGCAAAGATGTAAACAAAGTGGGTGTAAAAATTCAATTCAAATTCAATATTTCGAAAGATTAAGTTTGATGGATGAAAGTCAAATTTGAGATGATATGAACTTAATTTTGATTTGAGATAATTAATCAACTTAATTATCTTACATCAAAATAAAGTCATCATAATAATGATAATGACTTAATTTTGATTAGCTATAATTAATAAAACATAATTTTTATATATTCACGCACGTTATTCAAATGTTTTTTACAAAAGCAGCCAGATTCATATTTACTTTACAAACTGTACACGACCAATGAAAAAAAATACATTAGAAAATCCCCAATCAATGCCAAAAAAAACCTATGCGATCTTTTAAAACATAACTAAACCTTTAAATTGTACTTCTTTTTTTTCGGTGTAATAAAGGATTAAATAAATAAAATAAATCCATCACGCCAGCCCCCCATCCCCGCGCGCCCGTTCGCTCTCTTGCGTGTCTGTATGTGTGTATGTTTGTCTGAGTGTGTGTGTGTGTGTGTGTATGTCTGGGTGTGTTCACGCGAGGTAGGAGTATGTGTCGAGGGTGCCGGGAGCACGCTCCAGGTACTGCTTGTCGATGAGCGCCTCGATGCACTTCTTGATCATGGCGACGGAGGGTGCAAAGGAGCCCCGCGCCTGCGACACCACCTCCTGGATCAGCTCCGTGTGGCGCAGCACCTGCAGGTCACGTGGTATCATGTCATGTCATATCATCACATTACAACATAATATCGTTTACTATATTTAGTCAGGTACGGTGAAGAAAAACATCGTGAGGAAACCTGCATATCTGAGAGAACCTGGCAAGTTTTCGAAACACATGTTTATAAGATAAAAAAGGCTTAATTCATGTCAGTTCATTATATTATATTATATTGTGGTAACCATCAATCAAATAAGTATAAAAATAAAAGTTTGAAAATTTTGAAAAAAAAAAACTTTGTTAATAGAACCTTAATACTTTCAATTGAAATTAAAGGAGCTCAGGACGAGGATATATTGAAACGTCATAAACATTTATACAGAAGGCGATTGCTAATAGATTTTTACTGTCAAATGCGTTTCCCGACTATCATATAAAAGTAAATATGACAATCGGAAACGCCTCCCGGCGTCTCCTTTACCCATACATAGATTGCCTTCTTTAGGCGATTGTATAGATTAGCAGACTGTGATAAAATCTTAAATATAAAAGAGTAGCGAGTAAATTGATTCCTCATACAAACTTTCATCCTCATTTTCACCCCATTAAGGGATGATGTCAGGGATAAAAACTGTCCTTTTCAGTGTCTCAAACTATCTACTTACTAAATTTCATCTAAATCAGTCTAGTAGTTTCGGAGCTCATTCGGTACAAACAAACAAAAAAATCTTTCCTCCTTATAATAATACATGATACCAAGATTTATAAAATTATCCGTTGTGATGATGATTGTCTTGAGTTACAGCAAGATTTATATCAATTTGAGCAATATTGTAATAATAATCATTTGTTCCTTAATGTTGATAAATGCTGCGTAATAACTTTTTCTAGAAAACATCAGCCTCATATTTATAAATACAAATTACTAGGAAATACTCTGAACAGAGTCACCGAAGTTCGTGACCTTGGTGTCACTCTAGACTGCAAACTGCACTTTAACCTTCATGTTGACAAAATTGTAGCTAAAGCTTTTAAGCGTTTAGGATTAATCCTCCGTCTAAGCGAACCTTTTACTCGAGGTAATACACTAAAAATACTATATAACGCGTATGTGAGAAGCATTCTTGAATTCGGAAGTGTTGTCTGGAGTCCTCAATATATGGTACACATCCAAAGAATTGAAAAAGTGCAACGGAAGTTCGTGAAGTCTCTGGACTATCGTACTGGTTTTTATTATACCGACTACGAGGAGAGTTTGACAAGACATAATATGCAGCTTTTGCACTCCACTTATTTAGATACCATATACTTATACAAAATTGTTAATAACTATGTAAACTCCACAGATTTATTAAACCTCATCTTTTTCAAAATTCCCCGCTCCTCTTCCTCTCGTTCCAAAGATACATTCCATATACCTTCATATCATACTAGGTATACTAAAATACCTTTCTCAGGCGTTCTTGTTCATTCTATAATAATAATTTAACTGTTGTTGATATTTTTTCGTGTAAACTAAGTATGTATAAAAAGCAAGTGTTTCGTATAATATTCTAGCTATGGGCTTTTATTGTTTATTGTTTGTACTATGATAATACTATTAAAATTTATTTGTTACTATTACTATAATTGCTTCCTATATTTTGCCAGTAGGTACAAACCAATCAATGTTTTAGTTTTTCGGAAATTTTGTATAAACTTATTTATTTCTAAATATTGTATAAGACATATGTATTTTTGTTTCTTTTTTAGTAGCTTCAATTTAGTTTTATTTAATATTTTTTTTTATTCAATTAGTTCACTTATTATTTTTGTAAGCATACTTATTTAGCATCCGTCATTTTTGATCACAAATCAGTTCATTTGTAATAATTTAGGGTAATATATAGGTCTAATTGTATTCTTACTGTTTTAGATTTTTTGTATACAACTGTTTTTACCTGAATAAATAAATAAATAAAAAAATAAATAATATTAGTATAGATGACGGATTATTAAAGTTCAATACTACTGATGGTAATTTGAAATGAGTTTAATATAGAGAAAAACTTTCCGTGTATGTGTGTGTGTGTGTTTGTGTGTCGCTTACCTTTCTCTGCTTCATGATACGCACGAGCGCGGCCTGCAAATACATCTTGCGGTCGTCATCACAGTGGGCGGGCTCGGCGCCTCCCGCCCCCGCCGCGCCGCCCGCCCCCGCCCCGCCTGCGCCGCCCGCCGGCGCCGCCGCGCACGTCAACCGCAGCTTGGTGCGCTTGCACGAGAACGACAGGTTCAGGACGAGCTCGCCCTCGTCACCGTCAGTGGGGGCGGAGGTGTCGCCGTCAACGTCAAGGCGGAGACCGTGCGCGCGCAGCAATCCCGCGTCAAGCAGCGGGCGTAAATGACGCGCCCACGCGTCAGGCGGCAGTTGCAGCGCGTCACGCGCGTCACGCGCCGGCACTCGATCCGCCCCTTCGAACATAAGCAGCAACGCACACTGCGGCGTGGTGGCGCTGATGTGGCACACGCGCTGCGTGTAGCGAGTTCGCAGCTCGCCTGTGCACAAGTGATGCAGCCACGCCAAGCGCCGTCCACTGAAGGAAGCTCGATAGAAGGCCTCGAACAGACGAGCCGGGCGCTCCAGCTGTGGCGGAGGAGCCAGCGGGGCCATAGCACCACCCAACGGCCAAGCGCCCGCCTGCAACACCTGCACGCTGAAACCAGCACCGGTAGCGGCATGCTGATCACGCAGATGTTGCTGGAACTTGGCATTGAGATCAGCGGATACGGCCACATCAGTAAACATGCGGTGAAGCTTGTTGGTGAACTCATAGCCGCAAGCTGCTTTGAGTCGATTGATCATCGCCTCCTCCTGCTCCATGGAGGCGGACAGCTGGTGGATTAAACGGCGTGCAAGGGCTCGAGCGTAGTGCTTCTGGAACACGTCCTTGTCGTCGACGTACTTGAAGACGACGATGGCCGCGGCCAGCTTGTCGTCGGCGTCGCCGTCGCCGCCGCGGCGCCGCAGCAGCGCGTCGCAGTAGCGCGCCACCAGCTCGGGGGCGCGCGCGCACGCCTCGCCCTCCCAGCGCCGGTTCACCACCGCACTGCACGCCTGCATCACGCAAACACGCACACATCATCACTGATAGTAATATATAATTTTATTGATTTTTTTACAAAGTTATATAATACGAGCGACTCACCCTCGCTTCACTCGGGTTCGTCCCTACCTTCATTCCCCATACAAACTTTCATCCTCATTTTTAGCCCCTTTAGGGATGATTTCCGAGATAAAAAGTACCCTATGTCCTAACCAGGGTCTCAAACTATCTTCTTACCAAATTTCATCTAAATTGGTTCAGTAGATCCAGAGATTACCCCCTACAACGTTACAAACTCACAATTTCACAAACTTTACCTCTTTATAATATTACTATAGATTTACAAAATAAAGTAAATCACACACAATACAATATGAACCTACCTGAACTAGGTTAACAACCTGTTTCAGGTTATAGTTTTACCATGCATTCTCACCGAGACACAAATTTTAAAATAGAGAAAATTTTGAAACAAAAAAAATATAATTAACGCTATTTAAATATTTCAACTGCATATTTTGTGTGTGTAGTTCAATTTTTGAAGAAACTCTCGATATTATTATTTTATTTTTTTTATAATTTATGCTATAGTGAGCACACACACACACATAATCAGTGAACACGCACACTGGCAGTAGTGGATTTTATTTCGTGGCGCCCTACGCCCAAGTCGATATGGCGCCCTTTTTCTTTCGTAACATTATACATATATAGATTAATTATTTTAACAACGAAATTCTACCCTTGAAATGGTACTGTTTAGATTGTAAGGACGCAAGAAAATAAACTTTAAATATTTGTAAAAAAAGTTGAGAAAATAAAAAAAAATATTTATAATTGTAATTTGTCTTGAAAATTTTTCTATTTTTTTTTAAATTTTTATTTAAAATTTGCCTAGGCCTAGGCCCGGACCTCGTGGGCCTCAGGGGCCTAGGCCAAAATCCGATACTGCACTGGTGTGCACGTACCTTGTCGAGCGCTCCGACGAATGGCTGAGCGCCGTCGAACACGTCGGCGAACAGCGCGCTGTACTTGCTGTGTAACGACAGCATCGCCTGCACGAAGTGCGCGTGCGCCTGCGGGGTACACCGTGTTAGTTATATTACTGTTATATAATTATATGTTAATATTTCAAATAAAACTATCTTTTCGGATTATTTCGCGGATTTATTTTGATTTTTGGTTCCCGACGTTTCGAATGCTTTACAACGCACATAGTCATGGGAGAGACTAAGGTTTTAGGAGTCTCAAAGGCGTTATATACTTGTTACAGACAGTGCCTACCCACTTATTTACAAAAATGTGTATGGAACATCGCACAATAGGTAAAATAATATAAGTTATTTTATTACTTTAATTATGACTTTGTCTTTGGTTAAAAATATATAAATATAAATAAAAACTATCACTCGTTGGGTTTTGTTTCGTACTTAACACTTACCTCCTACACTTTATAAACTGTTACACAATAATAAAATAATCTTACGATTAGCGGATCAACATCACCTATCATATATAAACCTCACTCACCTCATCCTTGGGGTGTTCAGCATCAAGCAACGCGAGTCCATCGCGCACAGCCTGCGCATGCGCCGCGTCCACCAGCGGGCGCAGCGCCGCCGCACCCAGCGGCCTCAGCAGCGCGTACAGGCGGCGCAGGTCTGCGCGCCGCCCGCCCCCGCCCCCACCAGCGCCGCCAGCCCCCGGCCCGCCCTCGCTGGCAGCCTCGCGCAGCAGCCGCCCTACGTCAGCGTGTAGGGCGGGCAGATGCGCCGCAACGCACGCCTGCTCGTAGCACGCTCGCACTGCTTCCGTGGACGATGAGTGCAGGAAGCGCCTAGCTAGCGCCACCTCGCGTTCCAAGCCTGAAACACGCGAGAAAACTCACTTTGTTCGAGTTGTTTAATTAATTCAACAAGAGATGGCGTTAGCAGTATTCTACATCGCGCGAACATTACGTTCTGATGCATATATATATATATGAGCTGAACTTATATATATATAGTTCAAATACTACTGTTGGTCGTTTGAAGTAAATTAATATAAAAAAAAAGGTTGAATTGTTCAAGTTCAATAAGTATTTGTACACACTTTCAACAACTATATGTATGTAACATGTAACTAATTTCAATGTCAACCGATTGAACAGATTTTACGTTGTAAAATATAAACACGTTTGTGGTCTTTTGGAAAGACTCTTTCCAGCCGAAGTTGCCGAAGTATCAATAGTTTCACTATCGATCGTTTTCATCTGAAACAGCCATACTATCGATAGCCATATCGATAATATCGATATAGATATGTGAAGGTGGGTCTTATGATGGGTGTAATGGTAGGTGTGATGATGGGTGTGATGATGGGTATGATGATGAGTGTTATGGTAGGTGTGGTGATGGGTGTGATGGTGGGTGTGATGATGGGTGTAATGGTAGGTGTGATGATGGGTGTGATGGTGGGTGTGATGATGGGTGTAATGGTAGGTGTGATGATGGGTGTAATGGTAGGTGTGATGATGGGTGTGATGATGTTTGTAATGGTAGATGTGATGATGGGTGTGATGATGGGTATGATCGTGACTGACCCTCGAGCACGTGCTTCATGAAGTGTGAGACGTCCCCCTCAGCGAGCAGCGCGGCGGCGGAGCGCGCGTGGTGCGCCGCCGCGTCCGCCAAGAAGGGCTCCAGCACGAGGCGGTGGTAGAGCGCGAGCGGCGCGCGCACGCGGAAGGCCTGCACGTGCACGGTGCTGAGCACGGCGGCGCGCAGCGCGTCGGCGGCGGCGGCGGGCGGCGCGCGCGGCGGCGGCAGCGCCCAGCGCCGCCACAACGCGCGCGCTCAGCGCCGCGCCCAGCGGCCGCACCAGCACGCGCTCCCACGTCACCAGCCCCAGCTCGCCCACCTGTACACCGCACCTTCACTTACATATAGAGCTCCGTCGAAGAGTATAAATATGGGTTGATAATTATAATTGAATCTTTGATAAATATAATTGAAAATATTTATTTTCCAACTCTTCAAATTGTCGATCAGCTAACTGAACTCTCTCAATCAGCTCAAAAAACTCAATCAGTAAAAAAGTTAATGAAGGGGAGGAGGATGAGGATGATATTCCAGTCACTAAGAAGTCTGCCCACTACACCGTCTCATACCATGACCGTGCTATGAACGTATCAGACACGGAAACGAACATGGCATAAACAACTATATCATTAGAACGTATCAACAGCGTACCATACCCGTAGATAACGGTTTTAGTACTCTGTTTCTGTTCAACCTTTCTGGCGTGAAAGAGTAACAAACATTCATACATACTCACAAACTTTCACATTTACAATATTAATAATACGGATTAAACACTCGCCTCCAGCTGCCGCGCGTCGTGCTCGGGACAGGTGACGGCGGCCGCCGATCCGTATATTATCTCTGCATCGGACACCTGCAACGTTCCACCAATATATATAATATATACATATAATTAAATTCTGAGTCAAATCTGTACATTAAATATTTTTTTGGAAAATCTTATTGAATTTTTTATTAGAGGCCGATATATTTTTACTATCGTTAGAGGCCGAATCTACAGTTTTTAGGATTTTTGTCTGTCTGTCTCTCTGTGAACGGATCACGATAAAACCACTGGTCAGATTTTGATGAAATATAGTATGATGATAGCTGGTTATCCGGGTCAACATATAAGATATTTTATACTGTGGGAAAATATCTCATCTCTGAGAAATCTATACTAACAGTTAAAACGTTCCTAGGGACAAACTCGAGCGGAGCGAGGGTGAGTCGCTAGTTTATTTATATTGTTCTGCACTTCTGTAGTACTGGGGAGTAAGCGCTTTTCCAGTAGATTATCATCAATTAGCAACTATAAAGTACCACAAATATTAACGAGATCGCGCTATTTGGCAGTGTCAGTATGAGAGCAGATAGAAATAAGTAATAAAAATAATTATTCATATAAAAAGTTTTTGAAAAATTGCGTTTTTTCAGGAAAGACACCTGTGTCGATAAACTTTAAAAGCAACACCAAATCGTTAGAGCCGTTTTCGAGATACACGACATAAATATATATATATATATATATAGAATTGTACCTTCTGTCGCTTGACGTGCTGCAGGTTGAGGTATGAGTAGAGTGAGTTGAGGTACGCCACGCCCTGACTGTACTCGTGCCACGCCGCCACGTATCTGCAAGTGTTCGCAGCCAGAAAGGCACATTAAAAACCAAACAAATAGCATTTACATTATTAATATATATATATATAAGGCACAAGTGATTGACTGATGTATCAACGCACAGGCCAAACCCTTAAGGCTAGAAAATTGAAATTTCGCACAAGTATTCCTCATATAACGAAGGCATCCACTAAGGAACGATGTTTTTAAAATTCAACCGCCAAGAGGGTGAAATAGGGGATGAAAGTTTGTATGAAACTTTTTATTCCTTGGACATATTTACATGAAATTTCGTATGAATTGATTACGGCAAAAATAATGAGTTACGTATTCCAGCGTTTTCTAAAATTCAACCCCTAAGAGGGCAAAATAGGGAATGAAAGTTTTAAATAAATAAATAATTTATATTAAAAAAAAAATCTTTTAAAATCCTGGATAATTTGAGTTACGATAGCTAAAATTATATTTTTTTCCATATTATATCTCTATAGACTATAATTACTAGCAGTTAACAATCGTCAAGTTTTACATGGAATTAAACTTTTGTGGCATTCCGCCATTTTGATATATTTTTTCTAAAATCGCGGTGCATTATTAGACGTGTGTATATAGAGGGAACAATTCTTTTTTCTAGGATAAAAAGTAACCTACGTGTTATTCTGATGTATGAGGCATATTACTGCAAAGTTTCATCAAAATCCATTTAGTAGTTTTTGCGTTAAAGACTAACAAACATAGATCCATACATACATTCTTACAAACTTTCGCGTTTATAATATTAGTAGGATATTAGGTATTCGCGTAAATCTAAGAAAGTATTATGTGATTAGAGAATGGTTTAAAGTAAGTTTTACTTGGCCACCTGTTAAGTAAGCCGTCATTGTAGTCGCTGCTCTCCAACGTGGCGTTCCCTTTGACCCTCTTCAGCAAATCTCCAACGTGTTCTTCTAAGAAATTTCTGGAAATTCAAAACATTGGCAGGAATTTAGAATTTATTAATAGAATATTAAAGTGGATATGTCTGTGATTAACTAATATAAAATATATATATCTAGTTTCATGGTAAGTTACGAGGCATGTGTTATGGATATCAGACAGTTGATAGCTTTAAATACTAATAATATTATAAATATAAACACCCACGATTGGAGTACAAACATGAGTGCTCATTACACAAATGAATGCCCCCAGCGGGACTCGAACCTGGCGCAGCAAGTAGGGTCACCACAAAATGAGCCAAACGTGTCGTCAAATTATTCAATATTACTATAGTAGAAACTGGTATGTTTCCAATTTTAAATTCCTACTTTTTTGTATTTTGAAACATGGAATCATAATAGAAATTTAGGTATTACCATATTATTGACGCGCGATGAGCGTCTCAGCTAATCTATCTCAGTAAAGAGATCCAATTTTGATATAACTATCACATACATTCCTTGAACCTCGCAGGCTAAAGACTATCTCAAAAGATAGATTATAATATATAACGCTTTCTAAGACCTAAGCGAAAATTGGTATTTTAAATAAAACCATGTTTGCAGACTATTTCGAATTCAAACCAATACAGCCTACATCAGTAAAAGTGTCAGTATCTTCTGTGAATCCCGTGACCATGTACTGTAAAGCACTGGAAATGTTAGGAACATCGATCGAAAAAGTACTAGATACACAATCAGCGACAAAAAATATCCTCACCGAATGAGCACTCATTTAAGTTTGATCGCGCTTTTATTATTTTTTGTGAAAACAACTTTGAGCATTGCATTTATGGCTTAATTTACATTGCTGAATATTTATTTCAACTAGAATAATTACTTAAACACAATTGGTGACAGTTTTAAGAGATTTTTTTGCATGGGATTGTGTATCTAGTCAGTGCCGGATTCAACCTTAGCGCCGCCCCTGGACATAGTACGAAATGCCGCCCTATTATCATTCGTTGGAAAATAAATAAAGCATTTTCGATAACGCGAGCAACTTTTTCCCGCCCTCCGAATTTTGCCGCCCTGGGCACTAGCCCCGAGTGCCCCTAGTGTAAATCCAGCGATGTATCTAGTACTATTTTGATCGCTGGTCGAAAAACAAAAAAACCAAAAACTAAAAACCGCGAAAAAGTGTTAAAATTGTGTTATTTCCTTCAAAAGACAGATAATAAAGTGTGTAGCGACGGACCTTGTCTCATCGTAGAGGCGGTCGGCAAGAGGTTCGGGGTGCGCCACGCACAGCGCGTACACGTCCGAGAAGCGCGTGTTCCACACGTGGCGCTCCACTGCGCGCAGCGCCACCACCCCCGCTACCTGCACACACCACCGCCACACAATACACAACCAACGATCGAGAACAATCTCATCAATTTAAATAAAACTAGCAACTCACCCTCGCTCCGCTCGGGCTCGTCCCTGGTTATGTTTAAACGTTTAATTCAGAGATGAGATATTTTCCCGCAGTAAAAAGTATCATATATGGCAACTCAACCAGCTATCATTATACCAAATTTCATCAAAATCTGTCCAGTGGTTTTTTCGTGATGCGGTCACAGATAGACAGACAGACAGACAAAAATTCTAAAAACTATAGATTCGGCCTCTGTATCGATAATAATGTTTATTTCAATAAGATTTTCCAAGAAATATTTAATGTACAGATACGGCTTAGTTAGAATTTTATTATAGGTATGTATAGGATATCTTGTCGTGATTTATTTTGATTTTCGATTCCCGACGCGACGTTTCGTTTTTTGAATTTTTGAAATCATTTTATAAATTTTGTGGGTAAGTGTCTGTAACAATTATATGTACCTTTGACAAGTCTAATACTTGGTCTCTACCGTGATGATGAATGCTGTGAAGCATTCGAAACATCGAGAACCAAAAATCAAATATCATCAAATTTATTATAGCTTTTGGCACTATTTTTAAATTCATCTACTTGTTTTCTGTGGCGCCACCAATTTGATGCTTGTCAGCGGTCACTTTTTATACGAGAGATAGTTCTCCTTAGTTCTACCCTCCATAATACATAAGAATATATTTTTGCATTCATAATACTCATAGAAGCCGAATTAAGTCCCCGAGGTTCTGATTATCCAGGCTTATCTCATAGTACTACAGTACAAAGTAGTAAGAAGAAAGTATATAGTGGGCAACACTAGTATTCTAATTTGGCAACATTTATGTAAAGGGTCACCCTTTTGGTCAGATGAGGGATGGGGGATGAAAAAATTAAAAAGATTTTAAATACATTGGATTAATTAAAAGTACCCTGTGTTTTAAATCTTACTACTTTTTCTGTTATATGCAATGGGGTAATACAACTGCCCATTGGCATTCCTCCGGCTTTTATATTATGTATAACGAAGCAGAGAGTAACATTCTCAATACTAACAGTTTCCTTAAGGTTAGCCCAGGTCTCCTGGAAGTCCACATTCCGAGGCTTGAGAGACATCATTCGCATGTCAGTTCATGTACCTGCAACAGCATAGAAACTATTTATTTTCAAACATACCATCTGAATCTTTTCAATCGAAAAACGTTAAATATTCAAATAATTAAAATACATTATTACAATTTATGGAAGTAATGCTACCAACATTTAAAGTGTGATAGATAATTTTTAAGTTACTCAGATATTGGTAATCATGCAGGAATGAAGCAAAGGATCTACATTCTTCTTTTTATGTAGGTTTTTCATCCACAGAATGACTTGTACCTTTTATCTTTGGATATTGTTTAATATGTCATATGAGTGTAATGTTAAATATATTTTGGGTTCACTAGTTATCACTGTCTTAAGATGCAATCAATGTAAGGGCAATGAGAATTCTTTGCATCAACAATTTATATTTGACTTGACCCACTATCTTTTGTGTAAGGACTGAGAGTGTAATTATATATAAATAGCACCTGTTCTGTTTAAGATGACATAAAGTAGAGTCTATATACGTATTTAATGCTGCCATTTATACTTTATAATATAACTTAGCGACTCACTGTTGTTTCTCTCAGGTTTGTCCGTAGGTGCGTTTTGACACTTAGTATGGAATAGATTTTTTTTAATTGTTATTCATGGATTTTTACGATATTTTAATAGTTATTCTGCTATTCGAGGTGAAGACAAATCTAACAAAACAAAAGTCATAAAAATCGGTCTAACACTTCTTGAATTAGAAGTGATGTAACAAACCCGACTTCTTTTTTTTATAGATGAAAATATACACAGTAATGTAAGTAATTAATTATATAATAAACAAAATAATTATTACATTAGTAAACAAAGACAAACCTATCCCACGGGAACCATACATTTTTTCGGGATAAAAAGTAGCATATGTGTTATTCCAGACTATAATCTATCTCTGTGCCAAACTCCATCCAGATCCATTCAGCCGTTCTGGCATGAAAGAGTAACAAATATCCATAATCACAAACTTTCACATTTATAATAGTAGTATAGATTTAAACCACAATAAGTTAGCAATAAAAGTAGAACAGATCAATATCACAAAAAAAATAATTACTTGACTTTAGAATTGACACAAACAATGTATATCAATTTTTGTTGAAACAGTCTAAACAAAAATAGATGAATTTCACTGCTGTTAATGAAGTTCAAAGGTTTATTTATATGTATATCACACACTATTGTGCAGTCTAAATTCTGATGTTCCCATTGCATGATTTTCAATAAATTTATATATTTAATTTGAGAATTGATACTTTGTTTACTTTACAAAGGAAAATATATGAAGATTATAAGGCAATACTGTTCACATATAATGTCTGAAAGAAGATCTTATAGGTACTTATTTTAAGTTGTTTTTTATCAGTATTTAACAGTTTTTTAACATTTTTATTACACTCAACGTGTAATGAATTTTGTATGAAATATATTACTCATTAAATATATACATATAAATTAATATTGTTGAAATTAAAAAAAAAATCTGCAAATGAACAATATTTTTAGGAGATGTCTACAGTAATTCTTATAGGATGCTTGTAGAATTTATTTGTAATATTTACACTAATATATATTTATAAATCAATATCACTCATAGCACAAATAATCATAGTTTGAATGTTTAACAATCAGATTAAAGGGATAGTTTAAACTATAGTATTCAATATAATAAATATCATGACCCGTTTACAATTTCTAAAAATTGTTGTTAAATTGGAACAGCATGATATGCTGTATGTATTTATGATCCCAAGTTAGAACATTGATATAAATTATATTAAGAGTTGTAGGAAAATAATAACATCAGCCAAAATAAACAGTCACAGGGTATTCTAAGTAGAATATCCCATGAAACTGTAGGTTTGCAGGCGATTTTAAAGGCTATTGGGATGGATATTATAAAATATTGTGTATATTTGAGACAGACCTAGGATCACTTTATCCCACTTGTGGCTCGCAACAAACTTGGCAGCGTGACAACAACGAACAATGATAATACATACCCCACACGAAATTACTCAGCAAATATCAAAAAATAATACGCCATTGAAGAATTAATAATAAAAACAATAAAAACTTACTCTGTTATTATTTCTAAATCCCCGTAATCGTAATATTATTATTATCAATATTTATTTAGTCTCGTAATATGTAAAACATAATCAAATGAAAATAATTAATGAAGTTTGCGAGAATATATCAAATCTTGATCTGACATTTGCGTTTTTAATTGGACAGATATTTTATTTTGACATTCGATAACGCTTGGGGTTCTAGTGTTTTAGTCACATTTTTATTAAATGTTACCCCTAACAAAATATAATAAGTTTTATTATACCTAGCACGCGCAAGTTTGAAAATAATATTATAATAATTATAACATTTTAAGTTACGAAAAGTATGTAATTTTGTATTAAATACCGGCGAGATTTAGGCATTATTTTCGATTCTAAATTGACATTTTTACCCCATATCGATAATGTATTAAAGAAATCATATAAATTGTTAGGCTTCGTTATCCAAAACAGTAAACTCTTCCAGCTACAATAAATATAGTTGTGTATAATGCCTACGTGCAGAGTATTCGTGAATACTGTGGCGTATTTTGGTCACCTCAATATAATGTACATCAACTAATAATAGAACGTATTCAGAAGCAACTAATTATAAGATATATTACTTTTTCGTGTAGGATGCATAAACAACTTCCTTCGTATATGGTCAGATTAAAATACTTTAGGATGGATGGCAGATGATGATGTTGATACGTAGACAGCTCCAAAGCATGATATTCCTTTACAAAATATTGAGAAATAAAATTAATTGCCTTCAACTCCTAAAATCCATAAACTTGCGTATTCGGCAACCTTTTAAGTCGGAAGAGTCAAAATTTTTAATTTAGGTTTAAAATTTCAAAGTTTTTAAAGAGCCACAAAATTTTTCTCGTCAACAATAAGTAGTACTTGTATAAATAAAGTTTTTTGATAATAAAAAACTATTTATTCATAAGTAAAATATCTATTTATACATATATAAGTAGTGTTTTTTCACAACATATTAGATAATAATATTATTATATGGTATTATTAGATAAATCACTTATTATTTAAGTAAAAAATTAAAACAAATAAACATTTACTTACAACACTAAGTTGTACTTCAATAACACACAATCGAGCAAACAAATTCAATGGGAGCGATGGCTTTGCATGATTATTCAAATTAAAAATTTAAACTTCACTTTAACTTTAATATACATGAAAATAAAAAAAAAAACAATAACATGCATTTGAGCAAACAAATTCAATAGGAGTTGGCTTTGCATGGTTTTAGAAAGTTTGGATAAAGGCTTATAACTTGTTGTCTTAAGTTTTAAACATGACTCTAAGTTTTCATTTGTTAGTGGGCTTCTTACTTTACTCTTAATTATATTCATGCAAGAGAACACTTGCTCGCACGGATACGTCGATCCGAAGATAGTAAGCACTCCAAATGCCAACTTTTTCAACTCACTGTAGCAATCTGGAAGACCATGCGTCGAATATAAGTGCCTCAACTCGCGGCATTTCTTTTAAAGCTGTCCATTTTTGTTGCGTTACGTACGTACATTTCTGGACCTCCAACTCTTCCAACTTGCTTTTCAACTCTGTAAATTTTCCGCTCCACAAAGCTTTGCTTTTTAAATCGATCAATTAACTTCAACTCAAACTCCAATTGAGTCAATGTGGATTTCTTAGCTTTTCTTGCTAGTTGCCTTTTCTATGGCTATCCGACGAATAGTACAGAATGAAAAAACACTCGTTTTTTTTATTTCTAATTAATAATCTTATTAGTTAAGTTACTGTGTGTCTAACATCTTTTAGATATATTCCTGTGAGTCTAAATTCTTATTGTATTTTACAATAAAGGAACGTGACTTAATATTATATTGTATATAAAGTATATGTCTAAACCAATTTTAGTGACGTTTTGATTGTGGTTGATTGTGGGTGAACTCAATAAATCTATACAGATAAATAATATAGAAGTGTCTGTTTGAAATGTCAAAATAACAGTTTTTTACTAAATGCATATGGAGTTGTACACGGTATTTATAAGAAAAACACAATTTAAAAAAAAATGTGTTTGTCTGTTTGTTCTGGCTAATCTCCGAAACAGCTGGTCAGATTTTGACGGGACTTTCACTGACGGGTAGTTGATGTTATAAGAAATAACTTAGGCAAATTTTATTTCAGTGTACCTAGGGACGAATCCGAGCGAAACGAGGGTGATTCGCTAGTTTTTGTAATAAAACATATAGTCACCATGAGAGATGAGCTCTTTGTTTACCTTAAGTTAACTACCTTAACCTATGGAGTAGATATAATGTGCATGCACTCTATAATACGAAACACAAAAATAGAAAAGGATCGATGAAAATTTATCTCTTAAAAAATGAGAATTTACCTATAAAACATAGGCATTTTATGATAATATTGCAAACCTATAAATTATAAAATAATAAAAAAAAACTCATGCAGAACCAAAAAAAAACGCATGATATTAATCATAACCCTATGTAACCTCTTTTTACCCGACTGCGGCGAACTGCGGTGAACAAATATGGATAAATTGTTTTAATATTTAAGAACATTACAATCAGTCATAATTGTATAAGTACTATAGATAAAAGTGCGAAAAAAAATTGAAATAATAAAATAAAAACAAAAAACTTGGACGAGCTTTGACGAGGTCAACTTTTTTTTTTAAATCGCTTTTGTGGAGGCCCCTCTCTTGTGGAGGCCCCGGGGCTCTAGCCCCGCCCAGCGAAGTTCGGTTGTCTATACTTATAGTTAACAATAATAATAATTGTTATTAATCTATACACATAAAACAAAGTCGGGTTTGTTACAACATTTATAACTCGAGAACTGCTGGACCGATTTTCATGGTTTTTGATTTGATTCCGCCATGAATAGCGGAATAACCATTAAAACTCACAATCTCACAAACTCGCAAACTTTACCTCTTTATAATATTATTAATAATAATAATAAACTCTTTATTGTACACCAAGAATAAAAGAAAAATAAATAAACACGGAATAGAAATGTACAAGAGGCGGCCTTATCGCTAAAACAGCGATCTCTTCCAGGCAACCTTTAGGTGTAGGAGATAGCAAACTGCAAGAGGGAAGGGGTGTAAATAATAGAGTAAATATATCACAATATATAAAAAAGTAAACTAGAAAAATGCATAAGTATATATGTTTATACTAATAGATACATATACATACACAGATATACATACATATTATATATAATAAAATATAATAAAAAAATAAAAAAAACAAAACAAAAGGCAAGACAGTTTACAAAGAAAGATAAGTTTAAAAATAACAATAATAATAATACTCGTATATTGTATATAAAGTCCAAAACTAAGAAAGTATTCTTATATGTGTTCTTATATATATATATATATATATATATATATATATATATATATATATATATATATATATATATATATATATATATATATATTAGTATAGATATGGCTAGCGCTGGCTTATAAATATTTATATATACTTAAAACGTACCTAGCGACTAACTTAATTAAACATTACAATTTTTAACTACTTACAATTAATCATTACAATTTTTAACTAAATTGTAATGATTAATTGTAATTGTAAAAATGTAAAAAATGTGACCTATTACCTGAATTATTTATCTTGTTCCACGTGTAAACAAAAATAGGCTTAAATTATAATTCTAAGGTCTATTTGAATTGAAAGTTTAATTTCATTTCAGTCTTATTTATGATATCGTTGGTTGCACTCGTCTAATATATTCCATACAATAAATACAAAACTTAGTTAGGACGCATACGAGCGAAGCGAGGGTAAGTCGTTTATATCTTAACTATTATAAAAATGATTAAGGCAACCTGCATTTAGATTGCAACGATAAAAATTGTATAAGTGTCTGGATGTCAGTAGCATCAATAGATTATATTTAGTACCTGGGCTACCGAGCTTCGCTCGGAGTTTTTGGTCTAAAGTACAATTTTCTTTTTTTTTTAAACTAAAAACTTGAATAAATATTAAAAAATAAGAAAAGTAAAAACTTTGTATGCGACCTAGATTCGAACCTGGACACCTGTGATTGTTGATCTTGCACCTTGGCCGCTTGACCACGATGCTTATACCGAGCTACAAATTACCCACTATATTTTGCGTGAAATAATGCAAAAGAAAACTGCATGAAAACTCGAAAACACACGTTTTCTCAGACATGAAACTAATCTAGATCGATTTATCGCCCCCGAAACCCTACTGTATACTAAATTTCATGAAAATCGTTGGAGCCGTTTCCGAGATTCAGGTTATATATGTACATGAAATATTTTTTGGAAAATCGCGGGCAATGCTAGTAAATTATAAAACTGAACATAGTATTTTACTTACATAATAGGTTATTGGGTAGCTGAAATATTAGTGCTTACATACATTTTTTCTTTCATTGTATTTTTTTTATGTCCATCGGTTTAGATTTTAGATAAAAATAACCTTTAGGTTCTAGAGTCTAGACTAAGGCTGTGCAACAAAGTCAGTCGGTGTGAGTTTTTAAGTGCATGAGACGGTTTAACCTTGAGGAAATTTTAGAAGATGTGCCAATTATTTGTAATTAGAAACCAATTATGATGTTATTCTTTACTTTTTATCCCTAGAAATCTTTTTAAATACAGTGACAAAAGTAGCCTAGACTACTATATACTATGTAGGTTTTAAAACTTAAATAGGAAACCGCGTTTTAGAGTATCACATGCTTTTTCAAAAAGATATTCTACTAGATTTACGTACAAATCTGTAACAATTTATTATGTGTACTCGTAGATACGGACTATTAATTATTTGTAATTGTTTAAAAGATGGTGTTAAACGAACAAACAGAAATGAAGATTGACGACCCTCCACATATAGTGGAAGGCTCGGAAGAATCTCAGATACAAAAGATGTTCTCTGGCTCGACGGTATTCGTAACTGGGGGTACAGGATTTCTTGGAAAACTGTTAGTTGAAAAGCTTTTAAGGTAAGTAAAAGTAAAAAAGACTTTATTTATTAATTTATTAGGTAACTCAAGATATTAGAAGTTTTTAACTGCTTTACGTTATTATTTTTTTAACACTCATTTAATTTGCGCAAAATTGATTAGAGGTACAATAGAAATCAGAGCTAGACTGACAAGCACGTCTATAAAGTGAAAAAGGATGTTCCATAATAATATCCACATGTAATAGCGACCAACTCATGACTAGTTTAAAAGAATCAGTAGAAAAAAAGTTATGAAAACAACATATCAACTCAGGCCAAGTATGAAAAAATTATAAACATTTTACAAACAGAAACCAAGAAACAAAAACGTCGTTTCTGATAACTGCTACAACTTCAACAATTGTTACAGGAGAGGAAAGAACTATTACAAAAAAAAATCAACCGCTGTAAAATAGCAGAAATGAGCAAAGAGATAAATGAAAGTATAAGAAAAGATAAGAAACTAAGAAGACAAAATACATTGAAAAAACATATGAAAAAAAACTGGGGGTACAAAAAGGACTATTAAAGAATTGAATACTACAATTGAATACAAGAATTGAATACTAATAAAAAAAGATTGGATGCTAAAGGTGAAGACTAAAGTCGGAAACTATACAAATGGAACTTTATGACTACTGTTACTGTGTACCGAAGGTCTCTACCAAAATTCAGTCGGAAATTTTGTTATTTGAATTGTCTATTTTGACCGGACTAATATGGCTGTCAAACATGGTAATTAACAGAGAAACTAACTAACAAAATTATCATATGTCAAAATAGAATAAAGAGAATTGTAATAGGAGTAAGAAGAAAATATAAAATAAGGTTAAGCAAGATTTAAGCAATTTTTAATATGAATAATTTTTAGTGTGCAAAACACTTAAATGGATGTGATCAGGACATATGCTGAGAAATGGATTAGAATAATATCAGAGTGGTACCCCAGGGATGGCAAAAGAAGTAAAGGTTCGACAAATGAAACGCTGGGAAGATGGCTTCAAAAGAGTTGCTGGTCCAGAATGGATCAGTATTGCAACAGACAGAGATAGGTGGAAGTCTTTGGAGGAGACCTTTGCCGAAGGACAAGATGTTGTTGAAAAAACCGATCGTCAGTAACAAATATGATACCATACCCATGTATTGTATTGTAATTATTGTAAAACAGCAATAAAGACTTATTTATTTTTATTAGAGAGTTATGAGTAAGCAGCAGGAGAAAGGATATCCGCAAGCGAGGACGAGTATGGTTAAAAGATAACTATTTTTTTTTATTTACAGATCCTGTCCTGATATAAAAAAGCTGTATCTATTAACGAGAGCGAAGAAAAATAAAAATGCAATGGAAAGATTGCAAGAGCAATTTGAAGATTTGGTAAGATTGACGATACGTTTGGCTCAATTATATTATGTATATGTGTAATGTAACAACTAACGTATACATAATCATTAATTATTTTCTATCAATTTTTTATTTAACGTATATATTTTTTATTGTAATTAATTGTCATTTTTACTGATTATTTCTTATTTTTCTATGTATTATTTAATTGTGGAAACTTGATTGGTCGATATTTTATATTTTAGGTTTTGTTTTTTAAATGTATTACTTGGTACTTTTTGTTTCCCAAATAAAATGAAACAAACTATCTGGTATCCATAACACAAGCTTCTTAGCTTACCATGGGACTAGATGGAACTAGATGCCGTGTGCAATGTGTTGATGTGGTGTATTTATTTATATTGTTTTATTATTTTTAGGAAATCATCGGAAATATTAAATATTTTCAAATATCTTATAAAGTTTCGATTAAAGCACCGATTTTCGTTAACCGAATCATTAACATATTTATTATTCACAGGCAATTAGGATAACAGGAAAACTTGTTACTCTAATAAAAAAAAAAATTAAGCGAATTGGTCACAACTTTTTTTATTTTTAAACTGAATTTTCATATTTTTCAGCTATACGATAAATTAAGAAAAGAAAAGCCAGATTTTATGCAAAAAATCGGCATTATTGAAGGTGATATGTGTCAAATCAATCTAGGCATGAGTGATGCAGACCGAGGCAAGATTATACAAGAGGTAAATATATTTAACTGTCTAATTGGTCTATTGGCTAACTATCTCGTTCGTTGGTCTATTGGCGGCATGCACGGATGCATATCCGGAAATCCTGGATTCGAGTCCTGGGTCGGGCTAAGTATAGTTACTGAGTTAAGAAATTTTCAGTAAGAACCTGGAGTTAGGAAGTTGGCGGTCCGTATCCCCAATCCTGATGCCTCGAGAGCACGTAAAGCCATAGGTTTGTTAGCCATTGTACATATAGTCGGAGGTTATTTTTGCAATATAATAACTTGTTTTCAATCTGTCTCAAAAAAATTTTATCTTATCAGTTTTTGTCTTTACTTATTAACCGACTACAAAAAAAGGAGGTTATCAATTCGTCACGTATGTATGTAATATTATTGGAACTGCAAAATTTTCACATATCATATTATGTATTTATTTGGACTTCCAAACAAATATACAAAATTTTATAGGTTCATCCTTTTTTATTTGTTAACATTTATTTCAACTTAGGGAACAGTAAAGTTTTCATCAATATTGGTCCAGTAGTTTTTACGATATAGACGTGTAACTAAAACTGAAATAGTTTTTGTGATTACTACTTATTACAAAAATTGTTTCAGTTTATTAATCTTAAAACTAAAATTTACGATGTGAAAAATGTAATTTAAAAAAAACCGACTTTAAAAACATACAAAAAAAGAAAAAAATAACTGAATGGGGGTTTTTGTTTACTATAAGATACTTAAAAAGATATTTTCGAAGTCAGAGGCATCCGACAATGCTTTAAGATATGAATATCTAATACGTAAATATGACAAGGTATGAATGAATTCTAATTATAGTTAAAATATTATACATCAATTTGTGATATATTTATACGTATCGAAATAGATTTGCTTTGCTTTGCATCGGCTGGCACCGACTTCGAAAATATCTGATTAGATATCTATAGTAAATGAAAACCCCCGTTCAGTTATTTTTTACTTTTCAGTATTTTTTTTGAAACCGGTTTATTTTTTTAAATTACCTTTTTTTAATTTAAGACTATCTTAATGCTTGTATAAATCTTAATAAATCCTTGTATAATATTATTTTAATCTTTTTAAAACAAAATTGAGGTTTTAAATTTTTCTTCTAAAATTAAGTTTTATAACATAGACTTAAATATAAATTCGAGTTTTACATACTTATCACCTAACCTTCAAGATACCCTGAAAAATAGATCTTCCTCTATTATACTTATTCTATGGAATATATTACGATTATAGAGCACACAGGTTACTGTTAGACACCTAGGGATTCACCCGAGCGCTGGTATATTTCCCAGGTCGAGTTTATTTTCCACGGCGCCGCAACAGTTCGCTTCGATGAAACTTTAAAGACAGCTGTGGAGATCAACGTGCGAGGGACGAGAGAGATGCTACAGCTAGCACATGCATGTACCAAACTACGTGCACTTGTCCATATATCTACCGCTTACAGGTACATTTTTTTTGTACATTACACGTTTATTATCGCACTACTATTGTAAACTCGAAAATAATGTATATTTGTTACTCCTTCACGCTGAAACTGCTGGACGGATTTGATAGAATTTTTGTACACAGATAGTCTATAACATGTATTAACATATAGACTAACCTAAATAAAATGAACATTCGTATATTTATCCTCTGGATTCCTAAGCCATTGATCCAATTGTGATGAAACTCTGGTGATTTATTTTGTATACGCATGTGAAGGTACTGATCCAAAAACAAATAAATCTTTGGACGTTTGTCTGTTATGCGTTCCTAAACAAACTATTTAATCTTATAGGAATTGTAAAAGGATTATAGGAATACCTGGCCCCATCTGGCTAACATAAATCTTGGTACTAACGTGCTTGTCTGAAATCAACAGGATTTGAAAAATGCCATTAATTATTCCTATGTTTTAGTAACTGCAACTTAAGTGAGATTGACGAGAAGTTCTACGACATCAACCTTCCTGGAGAGAAGCTTATTAACTTGGTTGAGAATACAGACGAGAATACTTTAAAGAAGATGACGCTTGGGTGAGTATTCTAATAGTAGTCTACCGACGAATCTTAAGTACGAATACTACTATACTAATCCTTACAGATACATCCATACATACCAACACACACAATATTAAATAGCCATCAACAAAAAAACAAGGTAAGCGAATGTGTATGACTTGCTTTAATAAAGTGTTTAGGTTTACCATTCAGCAACTATTAGCTTAATTAAAAAAGTCTTTTAGAATTATAGATGCATATTTTTAAAGACACATCCAAAAATCCCTGAGGGAGCCCTATGTGCAACAGTGGACTTAAAAGGGCTGATGATGATGATTTACGTACAAGTTTACGTACACATTTTTTATTCTTCACTGGTATATATGAACTACGGTATTGTCTAACTATTCATATGAGATACTTATCTATCAAATTTTGGCCATATAGCTCCAATAGTCGCCTAGTAATATAAAAAGATACGAACAGACGGCCATGGAGAAATCAGAAATCTTTCATTTCTTGCCTCGTCTAAGCCCCTTCACGTTTGGACTGCGTGACGCAAAGGAGGGTAATATGTATATCAGTCTATGTATGTATATATATACTCGTATGTTTGGTTCTTGCTAGCATTCTGGAGACCAAACGCGTGGGCCGATTTTGATGATTCACACGATGTTAGATTCATATTAATAACGCGAGTGTCATAGGCATATAAAAATAGCTAAAAATTAAAGTGGCGGATTTCAGGCGTTAATTTGTGTATCTTTAAAAAAATCTTCAAAATCAATCGAGTGGGGTATCAAAGTAAAGGTTTTTAAGGGGCGATCACAAAAATATATATAATTTATATCTTTAAAAGTAATTTAGGATAAAAAATCCTTCAAACTTCAAATGTCTAATTTGCAAAAACTTAAAAGCTGTAAATAAAAAAAATATTATAAAAATAAAAAAACCGACTGCATAAAAGCTAATTAAAAAGATGATAACAAGTTGACGAAGAAATATAGTACTATGCAGTCGGAGACTACAATTTATGTTTGCATAATTACTATATTTCGTGAACTTGCTTTTATCTTTTCAGTTAGCTTTTTTATGCAGTCGGGTTTTTTTTATTTTTATATTTTTTACTTATTTGTACAGTGACCTTAGTTAACTTTGTAAATGTGTTATTTTAATTATTTATTGGATATGTGAGAGGAAGAGTCCTTTTTTGGAAAAAAAAAACAGTAAGGTCCAATACCTTACTACTATACTACTATATAACTGATTAGTCAAAATTCCCAAAGCAGTAAAGTTTTTATGAAAGCAGAATGTCCATTAGGCCCTTAGGTCATAATAATGATGTTATTGTTTTAGTAAATTCTTCAGGCCGTTACGGGTTTGAGTTAAATTCGGAACGGATATAAACTTATATCAGATAAAATGGAGTCATTATTTGATAAAACTAATCAATATATGTTTGCTTTTCTAAGATTAATAGGTGATTTGCCCAATACGTACGCTTATACGAAATCGGCAGCGGAAGACATCATCCAGAAACATTCTCAAGGACTTCCGGTTGCCATAATTAGACCTTCCATAGGTAAATATAACATAGTATGTATATTATTTAATACAAGTACTACTTACTACTAGGATGTGGTGTAGTGTTTGTGTAAATATAATATCTACAGTATTAGTTCTTTACACTGTCTCGTGTTCACGGTATAGCGGGTAAGTCAGTCTGGACTCTGGCGTGAGCCATGGGCGAGTGCGGGCGTGTCACTTACGTATACCGTGTGTTGACGAGCCAGTGAAGTGTGTATGATACGAAGTATACCACACGTGGTAACGCGTTTGCTTGAAAAGCCAAATGAAGCGGGTTCAAAACCCGGATCTCGCACCTCTGATATTCTCACGTGCAAATAACTTTCAACATGATTACGCAAGAGGTGTTACAGTGAAGTAAAACATCAAGAGGATACCTGCATGCCTGTGAGAACCGGTCAAATCAAAAGACATGTGATGTCCACCAACTCTCACTTGACCAACTTGGTGAACTGTGGCCTGATCTCTCTCGCGTTGAAGAGAGGCCTATGCCCAGTAGCGGGACGTTGAAATAAGGGCTGAATACCTACTCTATATTATTTGACACTAGCGACACACTCAAACAAATCTATTCAACAAATATTTTTTATAGTAATTTATCTTGATGGATCTAACCATCTGGGTACCGCAGACTGTTTTTTTGGATATATCCAGAATATTAGAATGTACATACACACATATATACTAAATATCTCTGCTATATTTCAATAAAAATATATTGTTACTGAATAATTTTTGGAACGATTTCATAAAAGTAGTAGTACATAAAACACCTATCTATAAAGGCTCAATATACACCTATTTGGTTACAGTGATATCGACGATGCGTGAACCTGTGCCAGGATGGATCGACAATATATATGGCCCTACTGGTGTAAGTATACACATACATTTACATATCATATTGTACACCTTAACGTGATATGTTTCTCTCGGTTTGGTTATGACAATTATTGCCAACTAAGGAAAGCTACTAACAAATGTCTGATGTCTTGTTTTGTTCCAAATAATCCAATAATATCTTTTTCTATCTACAAAAGGTTTTTATCGGTACTTCTCAGTATATAAAGATTATTGACGACACGTTTGGCTCAGTTTGTAGTTACCCTAATTGCTGTGCTAGCGGTCGCGGGTTCGAATCCCGTTAGGGGCATTCATTTGTGCGATGAGCACGAATGTTTGTACTCAAGTCATGGGTGTTTATATTTATAATATGTATTTAAAAGTTATATAATATGTGTAGTGTAGCAACTATCTGGTATCCATAACACAAGCCTCGTAGCTTACCATGAAACTAGATGGTGATGTGTGTTAATGTCCCAACAAATTTATTTTTATTTATTTATTAGAGAATCATTTCAGATGGTGTTAGGAGTATGCTTGGGTCTTATACACTCCTTACAATGCAACCCACGAGCAATAGCGGATCTGGTCCCAGGTGACTACGTAATAAATGGAATTATAGCAGTGGCCTGGAAAACCGCCAAAGATTATCCTGTAAATTGTGAACATTCTCCAAGTGATAATTCGCCTACTGTATACAATTATGTATCTTCTGAGCAAAATCCTATTACTTGGGGTAAGATTTAAGATTTAAGAAGAAAGCTAGGCGTAACCAGTTTATCCTTATTTCTAGTGTTTATTTCATGCCTATAACTGTGTCTTAAATAACAATGAATGTTTTGTCGGACATACATAATATTACAATATATATATTGCGATGCAACCGCAAGTACACCAATTTCCTTAAAAAAATCTCGTAGAGTATCCCGAGCTCCGATGTTATAAATTGCTCGAATAGCCCTTTTTTTAGAGAATATATATAGATTTTATATCCACTGCATTAGCCCACAACAAAATTCCGTAAGTCAAGATGCTGTGGAAGTAGCTGAAATAAAAAAGTCTAGCAGTACCAACATCTGTTAGCTGCCTGACTTTCCTAACAGCGAACACAGCGGAGCTCAGTCTACTCGCGAGAGATGACAAATGGGCTCCACTGAAGACCTGAGTCCAATGTTATACCCAAGAATACTGTGGAATCTACAGTATTAAGACTTTCATTATTTAAAAACTAACTAAAATCCTGTCTCCTTACATTATGGTGGAGCAAGTGGACTGTAATTTTGGGGGATGCGGGAAGGCGTATTTCCTCCCGAGAAGGGAACCCTTGCCGGTGATGGACACACCACGTGCAAAAAAAACAAAAGTTCAGGGACTCACCTTCTGCTGCAACTCCTATCTCCGCTTCCATGAAAATTAGCACAGGGCACTTAAAGTTCGTATAGTACACAGTAAAAAAGTTTATAAGCGTATAGGGCGCGGTCAACCTGCGCGCGCGCGGTGCGGGATGATAGTTAATTACGCGGAAGCCGTGTTAATTGTTACACGGTGTAACGACGACTGGGGTGAGTGCATCTGCGCACTCACGCGGCTTATCCCATCACAATTGCCTATTTGCAAAATAGCGCAACCATCCCCCCGGCCTTTAGGGTTTCCCTAAACAAGAAAAGGGACGGGAAAGGAATATAATGAGAATTAAGGATGGGATAAAAATTTATAAATGCGGAACGAAATGAAGCGGATGAGATGCGTCGCGGATGCTAGCGGAATATAAATTAAAACGCGGAAATAAGCTATAATGTAACTTAGTAACTATGAAGTAAGTTAAACTAAAGATTTAACGTAAACTAAATGCGACTAAAACTAAATGAAAATGTATATGAACTTTACTGATTGGGCAAAGGACAAAGTTTTGCCACTGGGCGCACGTAAGTACCGGTTTGCGTGCGCACACGCGCTACCCTGATAACACCATCGGAGCCAGGGTGGACCTCGTCTATGACAGCAAGAGGCCAATTAAGCGGTGAACAATTATCTGATTTTATAATAACAATCAAGCCTTTCCTAACTGGATTGGATGGCGTGTTCCATTTTAAACGCGTTTGCAACTCTGAAAGATACTCCTTTCGCCACCGATTCCAGTAACTTTGAACAAGCTTGTCGAGTAATTGTTTGCGATGTAATAAATTAAGATTTGCATTTTCGCATGGAATGGAATGAAACGAAGTCAATGGACCTAACGTTAAAAAATGAGACGGGGTTAACGCGGTTGGTTCGGAAGGATCCGAACTCATGACAGTAAGTGGACGCGAATTGAGCACGCACTCAATTTGTGTAAGTAATGTATACATTTCTTCGTAGGTAAGCAACGTCTCGCCTACGACGCGTTTGAGATGAAGTTTGACACTACGTATGTTAGTCTCCCATACACCACCAAAATGAGGCGAATTAGGAGGGTTCATACTCCAATTGATGCCGTGAGATACAGCCTCTGCATTAAAAGATTCGCGAAAACGATTTAGATTTAAGAAATTTATGTAATTCATCGAAATGCGTCTTGGCGCCAACAAAGTTGGTACCATTGTCAGAAAACAAATTTAAACATTCACCGCGGCGCGAAATGAAACGCTTAAAAGCCCGTAGAAATGACTCAGTGCTAAGATCGACAGCAAGCTCTAAATGCACTGCTCTCGTAACAAAACAAGTAAAGAGACAAATATATGCCTTTTCTTTACGTGCGCCTCTGTACCTACTTATAAGAATGTTATAAGGTCCGCCATAGTCAACGCCCGTATTCATGAAGGGCTTGGCTTCGTTTACTCTAGGAGCGGGTAGAGACGCCATGAATGGGTTTAACGAACGCGGGTTTGATTTAAAACATTTATTACAATTCCTAAATCGTTTTCGTACTATATTACGACCAGACATTATCCAAAATCTCTGTCGCAACAATGATAAAAGAAGATGCGGTCCAGGATGTAAAAACCTGTGATGATAACTATCTATAATCATTTCCGTAATGCGATGATTTTTAGGCAATAATATAGGATGTTTGGCGTTAAATGACAGTGAGGATTTATTTAAACGTCCTCCTACGCGGAGTAAACCATCTTTATGAACGAACGGCGCATATGGTAACAAAGATTTCGAGACTTTGCGGTGTGAATTGATTGCCGAAATGTCGTTCTTAAAGACATGCGATTGTAAACAACGAAGAATAGTTACCTCAGCAACCTTAAGGTGTTCAAACTGTAAAAAGTCAGAGCGCGGAAGTTTACGAGTGAATCTTAAAATATAAACAATGATACGAAGTAGTTTGTCCCACGAGAACACGCGTGACGCGAGTTGAAGAAGAAAATTTTCTTCAGCGACTACGGTTGCGGTGCAGACAATAAGAGATGGATTAATATTCTTATATTCATAAACTTTATCATTCGCGGTGTCATCAAATGTGAACCTATTGAGAGGCCACGACGCGGGGTTGTCACGAGCCCATTGCGGGCCGTGCATCCATAGCGGATGAACTAATAGTTGCGCGGGAGATAAACCTCTAGAGATGCAGTCACTAGGGTTTTGTTTTCCATCAACATGGAAATAATGACGCGGCGCGAGATACTCTTGTATCTTAGAAATACGATTGGCCACAAAGGTGTCAAATCGGTGCGGAGACGAATGTGTCCAGTGTAAAGCCACGGACGAATCAGTAAAAGCAAACACGTCATCAACTGTACAACGTGCCGCTATTGAGTCGCGGATAAAATTAAGCAGCTGTGCCATGATCAACACAGCGCAGAGTTCTAGCCTGGCCAGCGAGACGGTACGTGTCGGAGCGACGCGACTCTTGGCCATGGCCAGCGTGACGCGGTTTGGTTCTCCTGGAACCACAACACAAATATAAACAACGGCTCCATAGGCTCTCTCACTTGCGTCAGAAAAACCAAGAAGAAAAACGCGGTGTGTATCAGATGTGATACCAAAAAATCGCGGTATTTGAAAATTATGTAAAAGTGGTAACTCATTTATAAAAGTTTTCCACGCGGTGCAAATATGTTCAGACGGCGAGTCGTCCCAACCGATATGGGCGAGCCATAAAGCTTGAATTAATAATTTCGCATATAAAACTACTGGAGCACAAAAACCGTTGAGATCCCATAGTTTAGCTACGGTAGACAACATGAGACGCTTTGTACACTCAGCCCGCGGGGTAAAATTAATAGCAATACGAAAAATATCTTCGCGGGGACACCAACTTAAGCCTAAGATTTTAAGTGAATCATCATTGTCAAACTGAACCTGGCTTGACAAGCGATTTTCAACCGGGATCGCGTTCAGGACCTCTGTCGAATTACTAACAAATTTAACTAAGTTAAATCCGCCGCATCTAAACAGTTCAATTAAATCCTGTGCCAGGCTAGCGCCATCTGCAGACGAATGAGTCGAAATACACAAATCGTCCATATATATGTAGTTTGATGCTATATCAGCAGCAAGCGGAAAATTCTGCTGCTGCTCAGAAGCGAGCTGTCGTACAGCGCGCATTGCGAGATAAGGACTGCAGCGCAGGCCGAAGCAAACGCGGTTAAAATTATATAATTTTACGTCGCTTTCATTCGCAAACCTATAAAGAATATTTAAGAAACGACGATCCGATTTGCGAACTATTAAATTTAAAAACATTTGTTTAATATCAGCGGTAAATGCAATTTTAAAAAGTCGAAAATTTAAAATAATAGCGGTGAGGTCTGTTTGTAAGTTAGGGCCTGAGTGTAAGCAATCGTTTAAAGACATTCCTGACGTTGTCTTGTGACTAGCGTCTAATACGACACGAAGTTTAGTAGTAAGTTTATCTGAGCGACAAACACCATGATGCGGTATAACGTAGTATGGATCCTCCACGTTCAATGGAGGCGCGGGTTCGATGATTCCATTTTTTAAATATTCGCGGAATATCGCGTCGTATTCCTTACGAAGAAGAGGGTTTAAATTAAATTTTCGCTCCAAAATGTTATAGCGACGACGCGCAGAAACTAGAGAATCCCCTAAGCAAGAAGGATCGCGGTTAAACGGTAACGCGGTAACGAAGCGACCAGTGCTATCGCGGGCCGTAGTAGAAACAAAGAACTGTTCGCACTGGTGCTCAGCGGGAGATAAATGTTTTTTAGACGGTACCTCCTGTAAAGACCAAAACCTCGTAACTAAATTTTCAATTGAATCTTCGGTCGAAGTGAAAAACGTATGCGTGGATGTAGAAGTCATAGGAAAATCAACTAAGTTTTCAAGCGAACCTAAAATAATGTATCCAAATGCGGTTTCAAATGCGTCCGGTTTCCCAGGGGGTCCGACCACCTTACCAGGGCGAAGGATCTCGGTAAAAACTTCAGAACCGAGAATCAAGTCTACTTGACCAGGTACGTAAAAGTCCGGGTCAGCGAGCGCAATATTATTTAAATAATCTATTTGTTTCGCGTCTATGTTTGTCGAAGGTAATTTATCTGAGATTTTATTTAAGACGAGCGGGTTAATACGAAGCGTGTAACGCGGATCGTAGTGAGAAGCTAAAGTCAGCTCTGTAAAAGTACCTATAGACTGCGTCTCATAATCGCCAATGCCTTTTATTGAGAGAGGATTATTAATAATCTTTGTTTTAATTCTTAAAAATTTACAACATTTTTTCGTTATAAAATGATTTTGAGAACCCGTATCTATTAAAATTCTAATTTGTTTGAATGAGCCATCGCTACAAACAACGTAAGCGCGAGCGGTACCTAACAAAACGTGACTACTATGCGCGGAGGCACGCACAGTGTTCGCCATAGCGCATATTACGTCATTAGCCGTATCGGAATTGCTATGCGACGCTGAAAGAACTTGCGCTGTCGAGTGTACGGGTGATGATAACGCGCCACTGCCGTGCGAGCGAGAGGCTGCGCGCGCAGCGTCGCGTGCGGGTGAGAGCGGGATAGCATTACCACGAGGCGACCGCGACCGCCGCGGCGGCGAGACGTACGCGGCTCGCGCAGGGACGTTTTCCCTTTCAGATTGCGAGCGGCTACTTTTATTTTTGAAATGCGTGTTATCATTAAAATGAAGCATAGTGTGATGCGAATGTGAATTGCAATGTTTACAGGCATTAGACGATTTACAAGTTGATGCGGTATGTCGTAAACTGAGACAGTTTACACATGAATGGTTGCGCTTGACAACCTGATATCGTTCACGCGGATTCATGTCGTTAAACTTAGAACAGTTGTAATAATGAGTATGAGTTTTTAAAGAACAAACGGGACATGCGGAATTACTATTTACTAAAAATGACTTTACGACGTTTTTAGAAACAAGCGGTAAATTTGAATGAGGTTTAGACTTAGAATTTAATGAACCATGACGTTGTATGATTTTAATTTGATCGCGGACAAAAGAAAGTAAATCGTCAAGTTTTGGAATTCCACAATTTCGGTTTTCCATTTCAAAAGCGCGGGTGGTCTCACAATCTAGTTTTTTGAGAGCTATATATAACAAAATGAAATCGCTTAGATTATCTAATTTTAAATTATTTAATGCGGATACAGAAGATGAAAATTTATCTATAAAATGTTCTAATTGTGACGCGGAAGAAAGTGGTTTGCATTCAAATATAGTATTTAAATAAGTGGTCGCGAGAAGCCGCTTGTCTTCGTATTTAGAGACAAGGGCGTTAAATATTATTTCGTAGTTGTCAGGTGACGGCGTAATGTCTGCATACACCGACAATGCCTTGCCAGTCAGCTTGCCTATTAAATAATATAACTTATCAGATGACGTCAAAGTAGGGTTGTTATGTATTGTGTCGACGAAACTAGAATAAAATAGCGGCCAGTTGCGCGGGTCACCGTCGAACCCTTTCAGTTCTATTGGTGGAAGTCTAGGCTTCGAATACGAGCTTTGACTAGCGGGTTTGTTAGTGAGACATTTAAGTGAAACTTGTCGCTTAATATGACAATACAAGTCTTCGAAAGCGTTGAGTTTTTTGAAATCTGGCTTATATTTAGGATTTATCTCCATGTTAAAACGATTTAAATCATATAAGACCTTTTCGAAGCTACTACGAACCGATTCTAAACCCTCAGCACGAGTAACCAACGTCTCGATATCTGCGTCACTATTAAGCCTACATGACAAATCGTAGATACTTTGAATACGTTCAAAGTACGCGGAAAGTTTAGCCTCAAGCATAATAATATTCATTTCTTGCGGAGACGTCATGTTTAACAAACTATATAACTGTTTTATATATTATAAATTAGGCGAATGAACGAAATAACTAAATAAAATGAGTAGGTATGACGGTAGTTGAAATCGTATGAATATAACGAACAAAAGAATGCGGTGTGCTACGTTAGCACAAAATATGTTACGTACGTAAATTTAAATATTTACGTATTACAAAACCTATCTATTTTACAGATAGAAATGGATGCGGGACGAAATATAAATAAATGATATAAAATGTATTCACTTATTTTATAATGCGATGCGATGCGAAATACATATCTTAACTTAGTACATTAAAATATGTTTTTTAAATATATAAACGGGATGAAACAGTTACGAAATGAGTACGTGGATACAAATAAATATTAACTATTAAGTTATGCGATGTTAAGATAGGCAAGAAAATTACTTTCGCGATGTGTACGCGCAGGTCTATATTAAAACAAATTAAATAAATGATATTATGTAACAATAAAAATATGATGATGAGAGTAAAATATTACTTATTGCGGTAGGTACTTGTACTATACACGTTCTAGAACAAAAAATGGCGTAGCGCGAGCGATGCGATCGTTTCGAAAGGGAAGCGGGTAGGTAATTGTGGAAATAATTTCAAGGAATTGGAATTAATCCGACGCGAAGTGACCAAAACTTTATGGTGGAGCAAGTGGACTGTAATTTTGGGGGATGCGGGAAGGCGTATTTCCTCCCGAGAAGGGAACCCTTGCCGGTGATGGACACACCACGTGCAAAAAAAACAAAAGTTCAGGGACTCACCTTCTGCTGCAACTCCTATCTCCGCTTCCATGAAAATTAGCACAGGGCACTTAAAGTTCGTATAGTACACAGTAAAAAAGTTTATAAGCGTATAGGGCGCGGTCAACCTGCGCGCGCGCGGTGCGGGATGATAGTTAATTACGCGGAAGCCGTGTTAATTGTTACACGGTGTAACGACGACTGGGGTGAGTGCATCTGCGCACTCACGCGGCTTATCCCATCACAATTGCCTATTTGCAAAATAGCGCAACCACATTAGGTAGGACAAATTGAATACATTTTGTTTTCTTGGTGTTTAATGCTAAATTATTAATAATAAACCACTTAAGTAATTGGGATAACGCACTGTTTAATTTGTCATAATCAGTTATATTTCTATCTACTTTAAAAATTAAAGAGGTATCATCCGCAAACAGTAAAATATCACAAAATTTATTAGCATAGAAAGGAAGGTCATTTATATACACTATAAACAAAAATGGACCCAAAATAGATCCCTGTGGAACACCCATTCTTACAGGGGATCCGGAAGAATTAACGTTATTTACAGCAACTTTTTGAACCCTACCACTAAGATATGAAGCAATTAGATCAGGAGCAATGCCACGAATGCCAAAATGACTTAGTTTAAACAGGAGGGTTTCATGTTCTACGCAATCAAAGGCCTTAGATAAATCACAAAAAACACCAATTGCATTTTGTGATTTTTCCTATATTTTCCAAAAGGAAGCATACCATTTATGATACACATAAATGTAATATTTGAATTTGTTACATTTATATTATTTGTTTACAGGCAAGTTCATCAATATTCTAGAAGTATATGGATTCCATATGGTGTTCACGCAAATCATGTGGAAGTACGTGTTATGGATGACTCCTTCTAAATTCTTACACAACTTTTACTGCTTATTACTACATTGGATCCCAGCTTACGTAGTAGATACCATCGCTATTACGATTAGGAAAAAGCCTGTGTAAGTGTGTGTAGTCCCTTTTGTGTCAATTTATTATAAATTTATTAATTTTTGTTGAACCATAAACTGTCAAACTATTTTATGACTACGGCGAAGCCCAGAGGAGGCTTATGTGCTTGTCCTGTAGTATATATGTTCGATCATATTATGTTCACTCGAAATTACTAAATGGATTAACGGATATTGATAATTCATACGTCGTTAGATTCATCTTTATACCTAATGTGAAAGTCTTAGGCTATGTAGAAATAATTAAAATTCAAAATGGTTGATTCAGGCACCAATTTTGTCTTAGTAAAGTAATAAACTGACTTCCAAAAAATAGGAGGTTCTCAATTCGTCGGAATCTTTTTTTTATGTATGTTCACCGATTACTCGAAGACGCCCGAACCGATTTGGATTTTTTTTTGTTTGGAAGGGTATACTTCCCAGGTGGTTTCATATAAATTTTATCGAAATCAGTGAAGCGGTTTTTTTTAAAGTCAACAAGTAAATTATTTTTTAAAATAAATTGCAAACAAAAAACTTTCTTCTAACAAATTACCTGCTTATTACGTCTACACTAAAAATGAACAAATAAAAAATTAAAAAAAACCGACTTCCAGGCACTAAAATGTAAAAAATATCTAAACGGGTGTTTTCATTTAGAATAGATACCTAATCAGATATTTTCGAAGTCAGCAATATTTTAAGATATGAATATCTAGTAGGTACTCGTAAATATGTCTTTTACGTATCGAAATATATTAGATTTGCTTTGTATCGGCTGGCACTGACCTCGAAAATTAATATCCGTTTAGTTATTTTTTACCTTTTTGTGCCTGGAAGTCGGTTTTTTTTATGTTTTCATTTGAGATAAGAAATTATTAAATAAAACTGCAAATGTTAAGTGGCCAAAACTAAAACGCTGTAAATAAAAAAAATATAAAAAAAACTCGACTCCATAAAAAGTGTACTAAAAAGATGAGAACATGTTGACGAAGAAACATACACAGTATAATGCAGTTGGGACATAAGCACATCTCGCAGCAAGGATGAAACATGAATACCATTTTACCATTATCATCTAGTTTTCTTTTCTTTTTAACCGATTTCCAAAAAAGAGGAGCTTCTGAATTCGTCGGAATCTTTTTTATTTATTAAATATACATAAACATCAATAACAAATTCATACACATAGTGCAATTTATTGACATGACTTCAACTAATACTTCTTTGTTTTGAGGGAAGCTTACATAATAGATATTATTATTTATTTTACAGTTTAAGAAAAGCTTACGAAAAGATCGGAAAATTCTCAGAAGTTATAAGCTTTTTCGCCATCAGGGAATGGAAGTTTCATAACAAAAACACTCTAAATCTACTAAAGGAGCTAGATGACGCGGACAAACATATATTTAATTTTGACATAGGGAGCTTCAAATGGGACGAATATTTTAAGGATTATCTAAAAGGGATCCGCTTATATTTGTTAAAAGATCCCTTAGAAACGATCCCTCAGGCCAAAAAGAAGTATTTCAAATTGGTGTTGGCTCATTATTTCTTGGTCTCTCTTATTGTATTTGGATTATTAAAACTTATGTGGTGTTTAATGAAACTTTTTATGTAGTGGTCTTGTAATTTATAAGTAATGTTTTTTTTGTAACATTAAAATTAGTCTGTCAGTCAACTAATACTTGCTATCTCTGATCGTTAGAACGATCAGTTCTTTTGAATTTCAATAAATTGCTATTTTTTTTATTATTATCCTGAGAGTTTATTTTTATATTGATGTCCTTTCGACCGATTCCGGCCACGGCGGCCAATCTCATTCAGGCTAGCCATCTGCGCAGGAGAAATTATAGTGCAGACACAACGTAGACTCTCTTATACCTGTAACTCTCATACTCCGTTGGGATGACTACTCGACACGAATTTTTTATATTAAACTAGTGACGCACCCTTGCTTAGCTCATGTGCGTCTCTATTATGATTAAATGGATAAAAATAGTTATCGCGATTATATCTTGGAACAATGAGTGATAATATGTATGTTAATGCGGACTTTTTTGTAGGCATTTTTAAGACCTATAATTTTCTAGTTGATTGTTGTACATTGTTTTGATTTATCTCTTTACGTTAAGCTAGCGTTAGCCATCTAAATAAAAGTAGATCAGGTAGGCCAAGTAAAATTCGATGTAATAAATAAATATGTTGGGACATTAGCACATTACTATCTAGTTCCACGGTGAGCTACGAGGCTTGTGTTATGGATACCAGATAGTTGATACACTACACATATATAACTTTAAATACATACATATTATAAATATAAACACCCATGACTGGAGTACAAATATTCGTGCTCATCACAAAAATGAATGCCACCAGCGGGACTCGAACCCGCGAACGCTAGCACAGCAAGTAACATAAACACACTAAAAACTGAGCGAAACGTGCCGTCAACGTGTAATGGCTTTTATTATTTTGTACAAAGTCAGAGTAATGCCTCATACAACATTACGGAAACGAATGGCGTATTTCATTAAATCATAAAACAAAACACAACGGTTTCCTGCCCTTTTTCCACTTAAGATGACAACTTATAAAGTTAAATAAATATTTTGCAATTAATATATAAATCACATTTTTATATAATTAATAATTTACGAATAGCTAGCATTGCCCGCGGCTCCGCCCGCGTTTAAACGACCTTAACCGTAATAAACGTATCGGTTAATCCTTCACAGGATCACCCGCTGGGCTAATTTGAAGATTGCCTGAAAATTTCATCATAATCGCTCTAGCAGTTTTGGAGTCCATAGGGAACATATGTACATACATGGATTTATATTATTATTATTAGTGTAACACATGACAATTAGCGCCATAAGCACCGGATGAGAGAGGCGCGGATAAAGAGAAGAGATTTTTAAACTTGGAAACAAAAAACGCTAAGCGTATAATGGAGAAGTTTCCAAAATATTTAACGAATTGTTTTTAAAAGTTTTAGTATAAAAATAAAATGAAAAAATTAAATAATCCCCGACACAAAAATATCTCTTAAAAGTAAAAAAAATAAAATGTCTCTCTTGGCCTTTTAACTTCATTAGAAGTTCCTATTAATTTTTTTGGTGAAGAGCGCCACCGCGTCGGGGGACCGTTAATACTTTATCATTATTAATCTTCTTTTTATTTGTATTCTGACTTTTATTTTATTTACTTAGTTAAAAGGCTAGTAGAGAAATTTTTTTTTTACTTTTTAGTTTTTTTTTGTTTTTATTTTGATTAATTATTTTTTAACATTTTTGTGTTAAATTAGTAGCTGAGTATACTTATTTGTAAAAAAAACCACAGACAAATGTAGATTTAACTTTTCAACAATATAAAGTAAATTACTCTGTTCGAGAGTTTCTTATTGATGGAATTGTGTGGAATTGAGATCAATTAAATCATTTTCGGTATAGCTATAATATATTAAATACTAATTTGATTTATAAAAAGAGCACTTGTTGAGTTTATCCCGGTGATGCTATACTCAGCAGAACTGCCTTCCGAGCCAAAGTATCTTCCTCGAGCAACGACTACACTGAATATCGTTAAATTAAATCCCATCAAAAACATAAATGTGAAAATGGGAGCCAAGTTCAATATTAAGAATTTATGCGTGGTTGTCAACTTCACCGACAAAAGAATTGAGATCTAAATGGGTGCCAAGTTCTGTAGATAATCCTGATTTTTTTTGATAAGAACATACAACATTCTAAAATAAATTTAAAAACACAATTTCTTGTTTTTTCTGCTACAAAAGTGCTTGCTATTAACAAATAGAACTTATTCAATTTGAACAGTCAAATTATTTACACAGAGTAGATAACTTAGGATAAATTGAAGTTTTACTCATTCACTTTAAGCATTCGAAACGTTGGGAACCAAAAATCAAAATAAATCCGCGAAATAATCCATATGTACGTTTTAACGGTTATTATGGCATAGATAGACTATATATTATGTATCATATATACATAGATACAAAATAAACAGTTTTGAACTTTTTGATTTTCCAGCAGTTTTTATTAGATTTCCTCTATTTTTTTTAATACTTAAACCACCCCTGACACACTTCCAACAAAACAAAGAAAGAATTACTCAAATCGGTTCAACTGTTTTTGAATTTTAGCGAGACTAACCAACGGTAATAGATTTTTATATATATGGAAGATATTATTATGTATATCAATGCTAGGGAAATTACCTATCGCTTTGTCCATTTACACTCTTCCGTTAAGGTGAAATACCACTGCCAATAAATAAAAAAACAAACAGTTGTACGAAAAATAACGAAGCGTATAGGCTAATTGGGGATACCACATAAAAAAATCCGCTTCTCAGTCTACCTCATGGTGGTGTGGAAATCAGTAAAAAACGGTAGTATGGACTAAGTAATGGCAATATTTCGATTTCTGTAGTGCCGTAATTTGACGGTGAATTGAAAATTAAAAATTACTAATAAATAATCTTCTAGAATTTAAAATATATAGTAATTATGTAGTAATTATATTTAATAGTTACTTGTTGAGCCCCAAAACTAAGAGAAATGAGTATGGGGGTTCTGGGTTTGAAATAAAAAAATGCTTAATGAGAATGCTACCTACCGAGTGACGCTACGTTTTATTTTTTCAAAATCTATAAGAATTCATCGTCAAATTACGGTGTCACGAATATTAAAACATCCCCTAACCTAAATAAATTGAAAATTCTAGATTTTGCGAATTGTAAATATTTCCTCAACTTGACTCCGTTGTAACACCTGAACTATTAGTCTGATCGATCGAAAAATGTTTAAAACAAAAGTTGCAGAAAATTTGATGCTTTACAATTTTTGTAATGACCATTTATAACTTAGATGACGCTGGAGAAAAGATATTCTCGAAAAACTGGTTTTTGGTACCTTTTCCCAATATGGCGGCGCGAGCGGCAGTCGCTCAAGGACGCAAATTCGGAAAATTAATAAAGACACCAAACTGTAAAGCTCTGACAAATAAGAACTCTCCTTGACCTTTTGTAAGTCAGAATCTGCCAGAATCTACCTAGTGACTGGATTAATAGTAGATTATTGCATAATTGAGTTCATTTTTTAAACACACTGTACAATTAATATAGAAAATGGTGTTCTATATAGAGGTTGTTTTGATTAAGTAAGTGAAATAACTAAAATTTGTTTTAAGTTTTTAAATTATAAGATGTTTGATTTTATATTAAAAAAGAAGTTGTTCATATCTACATATTTTTTAATGTAACAGGAAATGTAACATGTATATTCACATGTTGATTTATTAAAAACGTTTAAAATTATCTAATGCCAGTTACTCACCCTCGCGTCGCTCGGGTTCGTCCCTAGGTATGTTTTAATTTTTTTGAGCGTAACCCTAATCCTTTTTCTAAAATAAAAGTAGCCTATGTTACTCCCTATAACATCAGCTATCTTACAGTGAAAGTCCCGTCAAAATTAGTCCAGCCGTTACAGAGATTATCCGGAAGAAACAGACAGACAGACAAAAATTTAAAAAAGATGAGTTTTTATCGTATACTTTTCTTATGAATTAGTTCATTGGTTGGGTTAAAAGCTACACTTACAGCAAGTATCAAAGTATGGTCCCATCGGACTTTGAGAGTAAAAGGAATAGAGTGCACGTGTCTGCGCGCACACTGACATATACTACTGACATATGACATACTGACTGACATATAACATCTCCTGCGCAGTTGGCTAGTCTCAATGAGATTGGCCGCCGTGGCCGGAATCGGTCGAGGGGACATAAATATAAAAATAAACTCTTAGGATAGTAATTAAAAAAAATGTCTTTTATTAAGTAGTTAAAAGAACTGATCGCTGTAACGATCAGAGACAGCAAGTACAAGTATTAGTTGACTGACAGACTGATTTTAAAAACGCATTACTTAAAAATTACAAGAACGCTACATAAACAGTTTCATTAAACACCATATAAGTTTTAATAATCCAAAGACAATAAGAGAGACCAAGAAATAATGAGCCAACACCAATTTGAAATACTTCTTTTTGGCCTGAGGGATCGTTTCTAAGGGATCTTTTAACAAATATAAGCGGATCCCTTTTAGATAATCCTTAAAATATTCGTCCCATTTTAAGCTCCCTATGTCAAAATTAAATATATGTTTGTCCGCGTCATCTAGCTCCTTTAGTAGGTTTAGAGTGTTTTTGTTATGAAACTTCCATTCCCTGATGGCGAAAAAGCTTATAACTTCTGAGAGCTTTCCGGCCTTTTTGTAAGCTTTTCTTAACCTGTAAAACAAATAATTATCTCTATTATGTAGGGTTTCCTCAGAAACGAAAAAGTATCAGTTGAAATAATTGTCAATAGAGGGCACTATATGTATAAATTTGTTATTGATGTTTATGTACATTTAATAAATAATAAAAGACAAGAAAATTAGATAATATATTACATCCCGTCCTAACTCAGTTCGGAAAAAAAGACATTTATTTATTTTTATATAAAAAAAAAAATAATAAAAAATACATGGTAAAATGGTATTCATGTTTGCTGCGAGATGTGCTTATCTTCCTGATTATATATGCATTATATTGTGTATGTTTCTTCGTCAACTTGTTCCCATCTTTTTAGTACGCTTTTTATGGACTCGGGATTTTTTTTATTTTTATAATTTATTTTTTATTTATAGCTTTTTAGTTTTGGCCAGTTAGATATTTGAAGTTTTATTTAATAATTTCTTATTCCAAATTACTTTACTAAGACACAATTGATGCATGAAGTAGCCATTTTGATTTTTAATTATTTCTACATAGCCTAAGACACTGGCATTATAAAGATGAATCTAATGACGTATGAATCATCAAAATCGGTTAATCCATTTAGTAATTTCGAGAGAACATAGGATCGAACATGCATATATTGCATATTGGACAAACACGTAACCCTTATCTGGGCTTCGCCGTAGTCATAAAATAATTTGACGGTTTACGGATCATCAAAAATTAATAATTCCATACTAATATTACAAATGATTGTGAAAGTATATTCGTTTGTTTGTTTGTTTGTTTGTAGAATGACGGATTAGCGTAATTTTTTGTGTGGAGATAGTTGGAGGGCTGGAGAGTGACATAGGCTATTTTACCGCAGGAGATTATCTCATTCTCACGGGAAAATATGTTACAATACAACCCAAAAAATGTTTATGATTAGAATTACTTGAAACTTGGGATTAATGCTCTTCAATACAATAAAATTTGGTGGTTTTAGGCATTTTTTGAAATCATCCACTATGTGGGTAAAATAGTGGATGACTTTTAGCGCGAGCGAAGCCGCGAGTTCTGCTAATTTATAATAAATCCACACAAAAATGACTTACACAGGCTTTTTCATAATCACAACAGCGATGGTATCTACTATGTAAGCTGGGATCCAATGTAGCAATAAGGAGTAAATGTTGTATAAGAATTTTGAAGGAGTCATCCAAAACGCGTGCATCCACATGACTTGCATAAATACCGTTTGGTACATATTTACTTCCATATAATTCTTAAACGTGCCTGTAAACAAATAATATAAATGTGACAAATTCAAATATAACATTTATGTGTATCATTAGTGGTATGCTTACTTTTGGAAAATATGTAATAATATTCCTTGGAAACTGCATCATTTGTTTAATTGAATGCGCAATGCTTTAGAACTATCTGTTCCATTAGAAAAATATTTTTAAATGCATGAGCAACCTGGCCTAAAGGGTAGAAATTCTCAATCTACATAATTGAAATAAAAAAAAACTGCGTTAAAATATAACATTTTTGTTCTAAACGCCATAAATCTATTTACTGTTACCGATGCAAAAAGAAAAAAGGCCTAGATTTGAGAAAAACTGGAGAAAAAAATCTGTGCGAATGATGTTTTGTTTAATGAGGAAACTCATTCACAAGCTTTTTTTCGATGGTGATACATTTCTAGACACATTAACTGACAATGACCTATTATACGTCATTTTTCCAATTTGTAGAAGAGCATCTAGCCTCTGTCTATGAAAGTTTCGATGTGTGATTGTAGAAACGACAGACGTTTGGCAAACTAATCAAAAAGACTAGTTTTCCACAATTTTCATAGTTCTTACGTCTAGGCAGTTGACAGTTTTTTGGGAAATTCTTAATTACTTAAATTATAGATCCTGGCTGATGCATGTACCTTGAACAAGTAAAGAACCAACTAAGAGTACACGCTGGAACATTTTCCTAATGAAAACCTTCTAGATCCCTATCCCATAAACTGCTACTGTCCTCTCTCAGAGATCATAATCTGTGATCTACGAGGTGAAAATCTTCAAGATCGAGCTCAAAACTCTTAGCAAAATATCTTGAGACTTATAGTCGTCCCAGAAGTTGAACCTAGACCCCTAGTACAATAATAAAATATTATGCAATGCAAAAATTATTAATCTTAAGTCTTACCCCAAGTAATAGGATTTTGCTCAGAAGATACATAATTGTATACAGTAGGCGAATTATCAACTGGAGAATGTTCATAATCTCCAGGATAATCTTTGGCGGTTTTCCAGGCTACTGCTATAATCCCATTTATTACATAGTCACCTGGGACCAGCTCCGCTATTGTTTGTGGGTTGCATCGCAAGGAATGTAAGAGGCCCAAACATGCTCCTAACACCACCTTAAATGATGAGTTAAAATAAATATGCTGGGATATTCACACACATCGCCATCTAGTTCCATGGTAAGCTACGAGGCTTGTGTTATGGATACCAGATATTTGCTACACTACATATATAAATTTTAAATACATAACTATTATACATATAAACACCCATGACTGGAGTACAAAGATTCGGGCTCATCGCACAAACGAATGCCCCCAGCGGAATTTGAACCCGCGACCGCTGGTATAGTAAGTAGGGTCACCATAAACTGAGCCAAAGGTCATCAATAATCTTTATAGACTGAGAAGTACCGATAAAAATCATTTATAGTTAGAATAAAATATTTTTGGCCTATTTGGGACTACAAAACAAGACATCAGACATTTGTTATTAGCTTTCCTTAGTTAGGCAATAATTGTCATAACCAAACCGAGAGAAACGTATCACGTTAAGGTGTACAATATGTTATGTAAATATATGTGTATACTTACACCAGTAGGCCCATATACATTGTCGATCCATCCTGGCACAGGTTCACGCACCGTCGATATCACTGTAATTAAATATATATTGAGCCTTTGTAGGTTTTTTACGTACTTCTATTTTTATGAAATAATTATTAATTACACAGTAATAATTTATTTTTATCTTATTACTAGCGACTCACCCTCGCTCGTTCGGGTTCGTTCCTACTTCCGTTTTAATGTTTAGTATAGATTTCTCAGAGGTGAGATATTTTTCAGCAGTAAAAAGTATTCTAAATGTTGAACCGGATAACCAACCATCATACCAAATTTCATCAAAATCCCTCTATAGTAGTTTTTCCGTGATGCGGTCATATACAGATAGACAGACAAACAGACAGATAGACAGACATACAGACAAAAATTCTAAAAACTATATATGCGGCCTCTGTATCGATAATATGTAATGACAATAAGATTTCCAAGAAAATTATTAAATGTACAGTTTCTCCTTATTTACAATTTTATATGTATAGATAATAGAAAATATATTGATATACAAATGTATACTATTTTTCTAGTAATGCCCAAAGAAACAAACAGCGAACTGTATCCAGATGGTTAGATCAATCAAGATAATGACTATAAAAACATATTTGTAGAATAGATTTGTTTGAGGGTTTCGCTAGTGTAAAATAATATAGAGTAGGTGTTCAGCCCTTTTATCAACGTCCCGCTACTGGGCATAGGCCTCTCTTCAACGCGAGGGAGATCAGGTCATAGTTCACCAAACTGGCCAAGTGCGAGTTGGTGGACTTCACATGCCTTTTGAAAATTTACTCGCTCTCACAGGAATGCAGGTTTCCTCAAGATGTTTTACTTCACTGTAACACTTGTTGCGTAATCTAGTTGAAAATTATTCACACGTGAGAATATTAGAGATGTGAAACCTGGAGTTTGAACCCGCTTCACTTGGTTTCCCAAGTAAACACATTACTACGGCCTAATACTAATACTTGTATTGTATACTAACATTATTTATTTTATTTATAAGCCTCTGTGTTTCCATGACCAAGAGTACATTTAAATTATTTTATATAACATTATGATTGATGATTCTAATAATTTGATTCAATAAATAATATTATTATTTTGACTTTATTTTTGATAAGTCCAAGTGCCTCCACTTTTTCCTATCTCTAGCCAATTCCATCCAGTCTGTGCCTATTATTTTAGTGATCTCATCGATCCAGCGCTCTTTTGGTCTGCTTCTTGCTCTTTTTCTACCTTTTGGACCCGCCCACTTAGTTGCCTGTTTGGTCCATCTTTCGTCAGAGGTTCTTGCCAGATGTCCCATCCATCTCCAGTTCTGACATCGCGCATGTTGTAGTGCATCTATTACTTTGGTCTTGAGCCTGATTTTGTTGCTGTTTCGCATTTCAATGAGTTTGATGCCCAAAATACTCCTTTCCATAGCTTTCTAGCATGAACGTATTCTTGACACCGTGTATTCGTTGAAAATCCAGGTTTGAGCGCCGTATTAGTAGTAGTTAGACAGAGCAATAAATTCGAGTCCAATACTTTTTTCTTTAATCTTAGTGGAAGTTTTTGATTTTAATATTTCTTTGTAGCTCCAGTACTTTTTCCAAGTCATGTTGATTTTCCGGTCTAGTTCGTCTTTGTGTCTCGTGTTTTTGAAAGAGATTAGTTTTCCTAAATAAATGTAGTTTTCTACATATTCAATGGGTGTTTGGTTTATTACTATAGCGTTCTATGCACCATTGGTGGCTAATTTTGTTTTCAAGGTGTTAAGTTGCAGACCAATACTTTTACTGGATTCACATAGCTGTCCTAGCATTTCTTGTAGCTGACTCGAAGTATTTGCGAAGAGAACAATGTCGTCTGCAAACCTAAGGTTGCTAAGAAATTTCCCATCTATTTCGAGTCCTTTCCTGTCCCAGTCTAAGTCTTTCATGATGTTTTGAAAGACTGCTATGAAAATCCTTGGTGATAGTGAATCCCCTTGTTTGACTCCTCTGTTAATGTTGAATTCTGGGCCTAGCCTGCCTTTACACGGCTTTTACTTTTTCTGTATAAATCTTTAATTATGTTGGTGTAAATAGATGGTAGGTTCTGTTGTTCCAATGCATCCCAGATACTCTCGTGTGAGACGGAATCAAAGGCTTTATAGTCGACAAAGGCAAGATATAGAGTTTTATTAAATTCTATGTTTTTTTTCTACTATTTGTTCGAGGGTGTGGATGTGGTCGATAGTAGAGTAACCTGGTCGAAAACCTGCCTGCTCGACTGGGTGTTCCTTCTCTATAGTTGGTGCTATTCTTTTCTCAAGGCACATTGCAAAGAGTTTATATAAAGTTGGAAGCAGACTGATTGGTCGGTAATTGTTAATATCCGCCGGGTCTCCTTTTTTGTATAAGAGAATTATCTGTAACTTTTTCCAGTTTTTAGGTATTTCTTGCCTTTCGAATATTTTGTTCTCTATTAAGAGGTGTCGTTCTTGTTTTAAAGCTTCATTAGGAATGATGTCTGCGCCTGAGCTTTTCAGTTCTTTCAATTTTTCTAATTTCATCATTATTTCTTCTCTATTAAAAGGTGCGATTGCTGTATACCCGGGTACTCTTTTCTTGAGTTTTTGTTTTGGAAGTACAATAATTGGCTTCATACAATTTCCTATAAAAGTCTGAGGCTATGTTTACTAATTCCTTCCTAGTTTGGTATTTCTATGAGGTTTTTTGTGTTTTCACTGTCGGTATCCATTTCTTCTCTATGTTCAATTCTTTATAGGCTCTTTTACTGTATTTTGTAAATGTTTTTCAAATATTTCATTTCTATAATTTTCGTAGACTTTTTTTAGCATTTTATTATTAGTTTTGTATAGAAATGTAAGTTCTTTTTTTTCTTCGTTGTTCTTCGAAGTCTTGTTTTGTAGAGTTGTACGTCTTTTTACTGAGCTTTTAGTTTCATATGATAGTATTTCTTTTTTCTTTTTGATGTAGGTGAGAGCGTTTAGGCTTTCCTGTATTGATGACTCTATTTTGGAGTAAAAGGAGTATAATATACATAATATGTTATAATTACCTATGGAAGGTCTAATTATGGCAGCCGGGAGTCCTTGAGAATGTTTCTGGATGATGTTTTCCGCTGCCGATTTCGTATAAACGTATGTGTTGGGGTGATCACCTATTAATCTTAGAAAAGCAAAATAAATTTTAACTAGTTTTATCAAATTTTTAGTCCACTTAATCTATTATATACATAAAATGCTTTTTTATGACTGACTGATCGATCAAGCACAGCCTAAACCGCTGGCCGTAGAAACCTGAAATTTCGAGAACATATTCCTTATACAATGTAGGCATACGCTAAGAAAGGATTTTTCGAAATTCATCCCCTAAGGGGGTAAAACAGGGGATAAAAGATTGTATGAAACTCTGTTACATATTCTAAATGCGCAATGCACAAATGCGAAAGTGGAATTTAGTTTTAAAATAAGAAATATATGTATTAGATTTTTTCGAAATTCATCCTCATCATCATTAAGAGGGGGTGATAAAGTTTATATGCGCAAACAATTATTTATGATCAGAATTACTTGAAACTTGGTATCAATGCTCTCCAATACAATTAAATAAATACATGTTTTAGCAATTTTCGAAATTCATTCCATAAGGGTTACCCCCTGGAACAGACGGTGCCTACCCACAATGTATATCACTTTTGAGACGTCTATGACTTTGTCTCTCCCGTAACCATGATTGCTGTAAAGCATTCGAAACATCGGGAACCGAAAGTCAAAATATATCCGCGAAATAATCCGAAAAGATAGTTTTATTTAAAATGTCAAATATTCGCCTAAATCTAAGAAAGTATTAAATATATAACGGTTAGAAGTAGTAGTAGTTAAAATTCGTCGCTAGACTAAGTACTATTAGACTACTAACCCAAGCGTCACCTTCTTTAAAGTATTCTCGTCTATATTCTCAACCAGGTCAATGAGCTTCTCTCCAGAGAGGTTGCTGTCGTAGAACTTCTCGTCGATCTCTTTCAAGGGGCAGTTACTGTAGAAATGGGAATAATTAATGGACTTTTTCAAATCTTGTTGATTTCAGATAAGCATGTACGTTAGTGCCAAGATTTATGTTAGCCAGTTCGGGCCATATATTCCTATAATCACACCACTATTTACTGTTAGTACTCCTACTACGAATATATGCTCAATAGATTTTACTAAAATATTCTTAACTAGTGACTTACCGTTGCTTCACTCGGATGTGTTTCTCGATGAAAGTTTTACTGCTAACTAGTGACTTTCCCTCGATAATCTAAGCTTGAAATGTTTAAGAACGTAAACATCCAAACTTTTTTTTGGACATTACCTTCGCAGGCGTATACAAAATTACCCACCAGAGTTTCATCACAATCGGATCAATGGCTTATAGAGATTAGTCCATATCATAGACTATTTGTGTACAAAAATTCTATCAAATCCGTCCAGCTGTATCAGCTTGAAGGTAACAAACATACATATATCATACATTTTCGATTTACAATAGTAGTGGGATATTATTATGTAATGTACAAACAATGTAATGTACCTGTAAGCGGTTGAAATATACACAAGTGCACGTAGTTTGGTACATGCACGTGCTAGCTGTAGCATATCTCTCGTCCCTCGCACGTTGATCTCCACAGCTGTCTTAAACGCTTCATCTAAGCGAACTGTTGCGGCAGAGTGAAAAATGAACTCGACCTGGAAAATACATAAACTAGCGCTCGGGTGCATCCCTATAGGGGTATCTCGAAGATTAGGTGATAAGTATGTAAAACTCGCTTTTTTTATGTCTTAACTATATTTTAGAATAAGAACTTAAACTCTCAATTTAGTTTAAAAAAGAAAAAATAAATAAAAAGAAAAAAAGAAGAAAAAGAAGATTTATTAAGATTTATACATGCATTAAGGTAATCTTAAGCTAAAAGAAAGTAATTTAAAAAAATTAAACCGACTTCAAAAAATATACTAAAAAGTAAAAAATAACTGAACGTGGGTTTTCATTTGTGGTAGTCTGAAAAGTTTCCGACTTTAACATGGAGATGGCAGCACTCGTGAACAAAAACTAGGTTATGTAATTGCGCATCATTTGACAGGTATATTTCAGCCATTTTGGACGCGCAGTTTTTGATGGACAATCATTTCACTTAGTCAATTTGAGTGTTTTTGTGAAAATGGACACATCGGGTGTCGTCCTCTCACAGCTTGGAAGATGACGAACGTTTGGGATGTTCAAAAACAGCAACGACTGACTAGCATCGCTAAATTTCACCAAATGGTGTTAAACAACCGTAGAATTAAAGTGAGAAAACAGCAGAGGTTATGAGTATATCTTAAGAACGAGTTTCTCACCTATTGAAACAAGATTTAGGCATGAGAAAATTGTCTGCGCGTTTGGTGCTGCGTTTTCTTACGTTAGACCAAAAATGTGTTCGAATACACATTTCCAACGCTCTGTTGGCGGAGTTTAGACGCAATAAATCAGAGTTTTGGCGCCGATTTAATTAGTGTAGGTGAAACTTGGATTCACCGTTATACACCCGAAATAAAAATATAGTCAAAACAGTGGACTGCGAAGGGAAAATCAGCTCCAAAAAAGCCAAAAGCTGTTTTTCCGGCTGGGAAAGTCATGGCGACTATTCTTTGGGATCTTCATCTACCGAAATAAAATCTTTTGCTTTCGGACAGGATTTATTCGAATTCTTTCTCTTACCTACTACTTTGATCGCCTTTTACGTACGAACACTACGTGGACGGCCAGATATTTTTTTTGTCACAAACAGAGGAGGTATCATTGTACCTATCAATAGCCTGGTACACAAACTTTTGACTAATACCAAGCGTATGGAGAATTTTAAAAATTGTATTTGGCTCCATACCTTTTTTTTTTTAACGTTGGGAAATGCATTTACGCACGACGTGTGGGACTCACCGGCGTAATACAGCCAGTACTACCCACTAAGACCCAACAAAACCTTCCCCCGTCTTAATGGGGCGTCGCAGGATCGCTTACGCATTCAACTACGACGCCCCGACGGCAGGTCTGCCGAAGCAGACCACCACAACCATGGGGTTGCTCCACAGTCCACTCTGCTATCAGAGAAGTACCAGGAGCAACCCGCATGGTACACCGCCCCCCGAAGAGGGCCACCTCCCACCGCCCACCGAAGTGGGCAACCTCCCTGTGCGTTTCTTAGCTTCGCGCCCGGTTGGATTGCCGGGCACTACTGAGCCCCCCCACCACGACAAGGTGAACGCACGTTGGGGGGGGATTTGGCTCCATACCTACTTTGTGTAATGCAATCATAGCGATTCGGTACTTTTTATCACCCCACTCCATTTTAATATAAAAAAATATTTTACAATGTATTGGCGCGACAATGAGAGAACACAATAAACATTCATATAAAAATGACGGATTCCAAATTAAAATATAATTATTTGTTTATTTTTAATTGTAACAGTATTTATGGCCAGACTATGTACTTTCGAGGTGGTCAGTGCCAGCCGCCGTTTTTAATTTTTTACTTCGTTTATTTATTTTTTTGAAGTCGACAATTTTTTTTAAATTACGTTTCAATTTCGTAATATTAAGTTTTAAGTAAAAACTGAAATGTGAATATTTTGCAGTTCCAATAACAATGTTGAATGTGTTATCACGTCCAGGTAAATATCTAAGAAATTAATTAAAATTCTAAGAAATCTATTTTAAATTTAACAGTCGTGGAGGGATTAAATACATACGTGTAGAATTGATTACTTCCTTCTTTTTGAAGCTTTTCCGGCGAATTGAAAACAAGTTATTATATTGCAAAAATAACGTCCGAGTATATGTACAATGGCTAACAAACCTATGGTTAAAACCATGCTCCAACCAAAACCATGCATGCTCTCCGAGGCATCGGGATTGGGGATACGGACCGCCAACTTCCCAACTCCAGGTTCTTACTGAAAATTTCTTAACTCAGTAACTATACTTAGCCCGACCCAGGACTCGAATCCAGGATTTTCGGATCTGCAGCCGTGCATGCCGCCAATAGACCAACGAGATAGTTAGCCAATAGACCAACGAGACAGTTAATTATATTTACCTCTTGTATAATCTTGCCTCGGTCTGCATCACTCATGCCTAGATTGATTTGACCCATATCACCTTCAATAATACCGATTTTTTGCATAAAATCTGGGTTTTCTTTTCTTAACTTATCGTATAGCTGTAGAATATGAAATATCAGTTCAAAAATAAAAAGGTAGTTACCAATCGATTAATTATTATTTTTTTGCAAAACAAATATTATTTAATGGGATGGATAAATTAATGTACGAAGCGGTTAACGGCTTCATATAATAAACTTAGGTTATATATAAAGGTACAAAACATAAGCAATATGTTTGTAATATACATATTTTAACATCGAAATCTATACTTATAATAAAATTGTAACGAAGCCGAATAATATTAAATATTTTTTATAAAATTAAATATTTTTTGGAAAATCTTATTGAAATAGACGTTATTATCGATACAGAGGCCGAATCTATAGTTTTTAGAATTTTTGTCTGTCTGTCTGTCTGTTGCCGCATCACAGAAAAACCACTGGAGGGATTTTGATGAAATATGGTATGGTGATAGCTGGTTAGCCGGGTCAACATATAGGATACTTTTTACCTCGGGATAATATCTCATTTCTTCTTCTTCTTCTTCTTAGAAAAAATACAACAACTAGATTTTCATGTTATCCTAATAGCCGGTTATATACTAATAGTATCTATGTATATAAACTTTATAAGATATTTCAAAATATTTAATATTTACTTTGACATGTCCTAAAAATAATCAAAAAATATAAATAAATAAAAGTAACAAAATATTTTGCGTCATTAATACATTGCACACCGCATCTAGTTCCATGCTTAGCTACGAGACCTGTGTTATGGATACCAGATAGATGATACATACATATAAGTATAACTTAAAATATTATATAAGTACCAATGACTGTCCATCGTGCATGTTCATCACACAAATGAATGCCACCAGCGGGACTCGAACCAGTCAATACAAACTGAGCCAAACCTGTCGTCAAACTTACCAAATCTTCAAACTGCTCTTGCAATCTTTCCATTGCATTTTTATTTTTCTTCGCTCTCGTTAATAGATATAGCTTTTTTATATTAGGACAGGATCTGTAAATTAAAACGTAAATAGTTACCTTTTAAACATGCTCGCCCACGCCTTCAGATCTCTTTTCTCCTGCTGATGACTCTTTTTACTCATGACTCTCTTTTGTACCTTTCACTCTTTTTTCCTTTTACTTACCTTAAAAACTTTTCAATTAACAGTTTTCCAAGAAATCCTGTACCGCCAGTCAAGAATATTGTCGAGCCAGAAAACGTCTTCTGTATCTGAGATTCTTCTGAGCCTTCCGCTATGTGTGGATGGTCCTCAATCTTCATGTCCGTTTGTTCATTTAACGCCATCTTCTATACAATTACAAATAATTATTAGTCCGTATCTACAAGTACCTGGTTTCTAATTAAGTTCCTTAAGGTTGAACCGTTACATGCACTTAAAAACTCACACTGACTGACTTTGTTGCACAGCCTGTGGTCTAGATTCTAGAATCCAAACTTTATATTCATCTAAAATCTAGACTGATTAAAATAAAAGAAAAAAATATATAATGAAAGAAAAAAACTGAGTGTAAGCAGTGGCCTAAGCAAATATTTCAGCCAAACAAATCTATTATGTGATTGAATTACAACGTTCGGCTTTATAATTTATGCAAATAACTGTAACATTGTCTAGGGGCATTTACATACAAAAAACTCTGATATATCAAAGTCGAGACACCTTGAATACATAATAAATTAGTATTTCCGCTCATGTAGCTTATACATAACTAGCGACAAACCCTAGCTTCGCTCGGGAGTTTACGATTTAATTCTTTCAAACGGAACCTTATTTTTTTCTAAAGTAAAATTAGCTTAAGTTACTCATTATAATATCTACTACTTAAGTTACTCATTATATAAAATGAATGCCACCAGCGGGACTCGAACCCGCGAACGCTGGCACAGCAAGTACAAACACACTACAAACTGAGCGAAACGTGCCGTCAACTGCCTTCCGAGCCAAAGTATCTTCCTCGAGCAACGACTACACTGACTATCGTTAAATTAAATCCCATCAAAAACACAAATGTGAAAATGGGAGCCAAGTTCAATATTAAGAATGTGCGTGGTTGTCAACTTCACCGACAAAAGAATTGAGATCAATGAAAGAGAAATGGGTGGCTAAGTTCTGTAGATAATCCTGATTTTTTTTCATAAGAACATTCTAAAACACAATTTCTTGTTTTTTCTGCTACAAAAGTGCTTGCTTTACAAATAGAACTTCTTCAATTTGAACAGTCGAATTATTTACACAGAGTAGATAGATAACTTAGGATAAATTGAAGTTTTACTCATTCACTTTAAGCGTTACTTCACTTTAAGCATTCGAAACGTTGGGAACCAAAAATCAAAATAAATTCGCGAAATAGTCTATATGTACGTTTTAACGGTTATTATGGCATAGATAGACTGTATATTATGTATTATATATACATAGGTACAAAATAAACAGTTTTGAACTTTTTGATTTTCCAGTAGTTTTTTTTAGATTTCCTCTATTTTTTTTATACTTAAACCACCCCTGACACACTCCCAACAAAAAAAAGAAAGAATTACTCAAATTGGTTCAACTGTTTTTGAATTTTAGCGAGACTAAACAACGGTAATAGATTTTTATATATATGGAAGATATTATTATGTATATCAATGCTAGGGAAATTACCTATCGCTTTGTCCATTTACATTCTTCCGTTAAGGTGAAATAACACTGCCAATAAATAAAAAAACAAGCAGTTGTACGTAAAATAACGAAGCGTATAGGCTAATTGGGGATACCACATAAAACCTAAGTAATTGTTAGACGAATAAATTGAAAATTCTAGATTTTGCGAATTGTAAATATTTCCTCAACTTGACCGTTGTAACTCCTGAACTATTAGTCTGATCGATCGAAAAATGTTTAAAACAAAAGTTGCAGAAAATTTGATGCTTTATAATTTTTGTAATGACTTAGATGACGCTGGAGAAAAGATATTCTCGAAAAACTGGTTTTTGGTACCTTTTCCCAATATGGTGGCGCGAGCGGCAGTCGCTCAAGGACGCAAATTCGGAAAATTAATTAAGACACCAAACTGTAACGCTCTGACCATGAACGAATTAACCACAAATAAGAACTCTCCTTGACCTTTTGTAAGTCAGTATCTGCCAGAATCTACCTAGTGACTGGATTAATAGTAGATTATTGCATAATTGAGTTCATTTTTTAAACACATTGTACAATTAATATAAAAAATGGTGTTCTATATAGAGGTTGTTTAGATTAAGTGAAATAACTAAAATTTGTTTTAAGTTTTTAAATTATAAGGTGTTTGATTTTATATTAAAAAAGAAGTTGTTCATATCTACATATATTTTAATGTAACAGGAAATGTAATATGTACATTCACATGTTGATTTATTAAAAACGTTTAAAATTATCTAATACCAGCGACTCACCCTCGCGTCGCTCGGATTCGTCCCTAGGTATGTTTTAATTTTTTTGAGCGTAACCCTATTTCTTTTTCTAAAATAAAAGTAGCCTATGTTACTCCCTATAACATCAGCTATCTTACAGTGAAAGTCTCGTCAAAATTAGTCCAGCCGTTACAGAGATTATCCGGAAGAAACAGACAGACAGACAAAAATTAAAAAAGATGAGTTTTTACCGTATAATTTTAATATGCATTGGTTCATTGGTTGGGTATAAAGCTACAGCTTACAGCAAGTGTCAAAGTATCGTCCCATCGGACTTTGAGAGTAAAAGGAATGGAGTGCACGTGACTGCGCGCACACTGACATATACTACTGACATATAACATACTGACTGACATATAACATCTCCTGCGCAGTTGGCTAGTCTCAATAAGATTGGCCGCCGTGGCCGGAATCGGTCGAGGGGACATAAATATAAAAATAAACTCTAAGGATAGTAATTAAAAAAATGTCTTTTATTGAGTAGTTAAAAGAACTGATCGCTCTAACGATCAGAGACAGCAAGTACAAGTGTTAGTTGACTGACAGACTAATTTTAATGTTACAAAAAAACATTAGTTAAAAATTACAAGACCACTACTTTAAACAATTTCATTAAAAACCACATAAGTTTTAATAATCCAAAGACATTAAGAGAGACCAAGAAATAATGAGCCAACACCAATTTGAAATACTTCTTTTTGGCCTGAGGGATCGTTTCTAAGGGATCTTTTAACAAATATAAGCGGATCCCTTTTAGATAATCCTCAAAATATTCATCCCACTTGAAGCTCCCTATGTCAAAATTAAATATATGTTTGTCCGCGTCATCTAGCTCCTTTAGTAGGTTTAGAGTGTTTTTGTTATGAAACTTCCATTCCCTGATGGCGAAAAAGCTTAAAACTTCTAAGAACTTTCCGACCTTTTTGTAAGTTTTTTTTAATCTGTAAAATAAATAATTATCTCTATTATATAGGATCTCCTCAAAAACAAAAAAGTATTCGTTGAAATAATTGTCAATAGATGGCGGTGTATATATGAATTTGTTATAGATGTTTATCCTTGCTGCGAGATGTGCTTATGTCCCAACTGCATTATATTGTGTATGATTCTTCGTCAACTTGTTCCCATCTTTCCCCTTCCCCCCTCGTTTCGGTAGAGAGTAGACGTGAATTGTGTTGCGTATTTAATAAAATAATTATATGTAAATAATTTAATTTTAACAAAATAATATACGTTTAAATAATAGGACTGCATAAAACCAAGAGAGGTTGATTCAAGTGCTCTTGAAATTAAAAATATTGGGAGAGGAAAAAATAGAACGTAAAAAATATTTACAAAGCTTAGAAAACAGGATCGAGAGTTTGGAAAGAAGCTCGAGAGCTTCTTCTACTCGTATTTAGATAAAGAATATACCGTACGATACTAAAGAATCGAAGTAATAGTATAAAAAAATGTTTTAAAAGACAACAAAATCGAAAGTGCATCATATTACAAGACTTCCGCGATAAACAATAGCATTCCCAAGGAGGGTTGACGTCAAGCAGGTTTTAAAATTCTCTTGCAAAAAAAGCAATCAGAGATAATGCGCCACAAAATTCAATGTCTCTTTATTTTACAGATGAACATGAAGTTATGACGATTATCGCAGGACTAATAATAATAACTATAAAGCCTTTTAAACGGACAATATATATATATATATATATATATATATATATATATATATATATATACGACATACGTTAATATTATGTTTCTTACACTACTGCACTGTTTTTTTTACATAATTAAAATTATTCGCGTATTTGGTGTCTCTTTACTTTTTGTAAGTCCGTTTGCCAGTTGGCAAAGGTCTACTCCAACCTACTCCACTCTGATCTCTCTCTGGCTACTCTACTCTATGTTATGCGTGCAACGTCACTGATATCATCGTCCCACCTTTTTTGCTGTCTACCTCTTTTCCTTTTACCTTTCCTTGGGTGCCATTGTGTAACTATTTTGCTCCATTTGTCCTTTCCTCTGATCATGTGTCCCGACCACTTCCATTTTAGCCTTTTTATTTTTAGGGTTACGTTCTGTATCTTGGTCTTTTTCCTAATGTTGAGATGTTTTATTCTATCATCTCTCTTTACTACAAGCATGCTTCTCTCCATTGTTCGTTGGCAAATGGCAATTCTATTGGTTGTGTTTTTTGTTATGGCACATGTGTGGCTTCCATACATTAAGATTGATAGAATGCAGACATTGAATGATTGGCTCTTTATTGTTATATTTAGGTTTTTGTTTTTCATTGCTTCCCTTAGGCCCCAATACCTTTCCAACTGTTTGCTATCCTTCTTTCGATTTCTTTGTTTATGTTATCAGCTGTCCGAGGTATATGTATTCTTCAACGTAACTAATTTGTGACTCGCCTACATTGATACTGCTTTTACTTCCATTGGTCATTACTTTTGTTTTATCGGGATTTATTTTTAGTCCTACTTTTTCACTCTCAGATGCTAGTTCGTATCGTATCGCAGGACTAAAAAACAATAAATCCCCTGGTATTGACAATATCCCTCGTCAATCTTAAAAATATTTACGTTGGGGCCTACTTTATTTTTAATATACATTAATGAACTCTGTCGGGTAACATTACAGAATGCTAATATTATAATGTATGCAGACGATAGAGCTATCTTGTTTCGAGGTAAAAATTGGGATGAGGTTCGCAGACTCACTGAAACAGGCTTATGCACCATAACAACTTGGCTCGAGGATAGTTTACTTTCTCTGAATACGAGCAAAATGAAATTTCTTTGCTTCAGCAAAACTAGTCGTGGACATCCCACAAACTTTCAAATATGCATACA